GCATCTCGTGCGCACGAGACAAATAAAAACGCACAAATGTCACCTCTGTGCCACCGTAATAAAGCAAGTTCCTGTTATAAGAAAAAAAATCACCGCATTATGTGATAATGGGTGGAATTTCAAAAGCCACGCTGCTTCTTGGTGTGTATTACCAAAACATAGGACATCGGTTTTAAGGTCTTACTGTTAGTGGTGGAGTCGGGTTAAATACCAAGTTAATACCGTGGATATTTGATACATATATCTGTCATTATGAAACACATTTAGAAGAAGGATGTAAAAAGTTAACATTTTCATTTGGCATCAAGCAGTAGACAGTTGGTATTTTACCAATTAACAGTAAGCAATAAGCAGTTGACAGTAGGCATTAAGCAGTTGGCACATTTTATTAATTACATAGTTGACAGTAGGAATTAAGCTGTGGCCAGTGGGCATTAAGCAGTTGACAGTAAACGGTAGGCATTTAGCAGTTAACAGTAGACATTTAGCAGTTAACAATAGGCATTTAGCAGTTAAGAATAGGCATTTAGCAGTTAACAGTAGGCACTAAGCTGTGGTCAATAGGCATTAAGCAGTTGACAGTAAACGGTAGGTATTTAGCAGTTGACAGTAGACATTAAACAGTTGACAGTAAGCATTAAGCTGTTGACAGTAAACGATGGGATTAGCAGTTCACAGTAGGCATTAAGCAGTTGACAGTAAACGGTAGGGATTTAGCAGTTGACAGTAGACATTAAACAGTTGACAGTAGGCATTAAGCAATTAACAGTAAACAGTAGGCTGTCGTCTATGGAATTCCATAATTTTCCACCCTTAATTTATCAACTTCCTTATCAGTTAAAACCACCATTATATTAATATGATATATCAAGTTTAACACTGTTGTTGGAATTTGGTTTTTCTTAATCATACCGGAACACACGGGAAGGAGTATTCCAAGCGTGATAGTCACAGAATTTGGATCATTAACAGTTCAATCTTGTGGATTGACATAGAATTTTGTCATACAAAAATCTATTCTGTTAGTTTACGGGTGATTCATGGCGTATCTAAGGCATTATTTCTCTAATTTGTTAAAGCTTATAAAAAATCGTCATATGATCTGAACAAAATGTGTGGGCTTGAAGCGCAACTTTTAAAGGCCCATTATACCCAAGAATTGTTTTTTCCCCTAAAGTTTTTTTTTGTGTCCTGTTTTGAGTTTCTAGATTTTTTACTGATTTGCCTATAACTAGTACCACAACAATCTTTTGCTTCGGTTTCTTTTGTTATTAGCATAGTTAAAGCGACATTTTGCTACTTTTATGACAAAGAATTCCCCCATTAGTGCTCCTTTCTCCAAGAGATAAGCATCTTACACGCTCTAAAACCGTTATTTCAACATTTTAAAACTCATGTTTGCTCTTTCTTAAGATCGGAAAAAATATTCACTTCAGAAGCACAATGTGCCTTTAAAACAACAATAAGGCTTTATAGGGTAGAATATATTTTGTTTACAGTTTAATAGTACACTAGTACATTGTACCAGAAATTTGTATTTGACATGTGTGAAAGATAGGTAAAGATGACCTGTTAGTCAAATCATTTCAATTGCAGTAGTGCCATTAGAGTTTTGCAATTCTTAATTTTGTAAGTTAGTAAAAACTGTCCTTTGAAATAATCAGAAATTCGGCATAAACTAAAATTATAAAATCGTAGTATAGTGGCATTACAAGTGTTAACAATGTGTCACTGTTGTTATTTATCTTCTATGTTAAGTTGTTCAACTTTCAGCAGACCTCGTTGTGATTTCAATTTGGACCAGAGTCTCGTTTTTATACATAGAAGAAGGGATATTGTCCATACATAAAATAATACATTTGAGCCATGTCATGACAAAACCAACATAATGGGTTTGCGACCAGCATGGATCCAGACCAGCCTGCGCATCCGCGCAGTCTGATCAGGATCCATGCTGTTCGCTATCATTTTCTCTACTAATATTGTTAGAGGGTTTGTAAGCGAACAGCATGGATCCTGATCAGACTGCGAGGATGCGCAGGCTGGTCTGGATCCATGCTGGTCGCAAACCCATTATGTTGGTTTTGTCAAGACTCGGCTCATTTATCTCATCTCCAATGTAATTGGTAATGCTGTAGATGTTATATGTCATACAAATGAAAATAGTTAGTTAACAGGGTATACGATCTTTAATATGGGAGCGTCCGTGGCTGAGTGGTTAAGGTCGTTAACTTCAAACTACTTGCCCCTCACCGCTGTAGGTTCGAAACCCGACAGAGACTATGAATTCTTTTTCTATGGAAGCTATCCAGCAAGCTTACGGAATGTCGGTAGGTCGGGCCTGAAATAATGCACGGAAGGGCACCCGAGATCTTCCTCCACCAGTAAAGCTGGAACGTCGCCATATGACCTACAAAGTGTCTGTTTGATGTAAAACCCAAACAAACAAAATCGTTTAATATAAACTGTATTTGGCATGTGACATCACCTTATGATTTTCTACTAAAGGTATATAAAGCATGCCTGTAGGTCTAATAGACTTTTATAATAATGTTCAGTATGTTCAGTATATGTGTTAAGATATATGTTAAAATTGTAATAACCATTTAATCATTTTTTTTACGTGTTATATTTTTTTGACTGATAATTGTGTTATTTTGTGTGTGCGTTTTCATTTTTTTTTTATTTTAGAAGGCCGCATTGTAAATAAGATGTTGCAATCTGTATATGTCTTAATGTGTTACCTTCGATAAATAAAGTTATTACTATTAATAAATTTCTTGAATTCTGATTGGCTTAAACACTTTGTATACTATATGCTGTATATACTGTGAAGAACCAAAGCAGGCATACATAACAATGTATTTCAATATAGACGCTTACCTACATGTCTGCATAAAAGTTATTTTTGTGTTTTGTTCTTGGTCACAGGAGTGGGTGGACCGTGAGACAAGGCGGACCATACCAAGGCAGACCATAGATCGAGACAAGGCGGACCGTGTTTTGGGACAGGGCGGACCATGACTCAAGACGATGCAGACTGCGATTTTAACGTCAAATTAAATACATTTATACATGTATCTTAAAATTAAATCTTTTAAGAGCAATTTTAATGTCATCTGTAGTCTATTTAAGTCATATGAACTCCTGAACAAAAATTATTGAGATAGTTTTATATTCTTTATTATAAAATGTTGATTGCACTATCAAAAGTAGTTAGGTAGATATATTAGACTGGATAGAAAAAATCACCTATGTAAAATACGTATATTGTAAATATATTTTATATAGAAATTAAATGATATAAAATATTCAGAAATTTGAAACTATAATCTTATTTCTAAAACCTTTATATATATACTGTATATAAATTGCAATCATTTTGTATGTTTCTTATATTTTACACTGTAAACATTTCATGTTTTAATTTAATTTTACTTTTATTTATTTATTAAGAAATATCAAAATTTAAACAATACAATATTTTTAATAAATGTCCATTACAATGATTAAAGAGGTTTTGAAACTATCTGTATCTATTCACTTTATGTATAGCTTAGTATTTATAAGTAAGCATTTACAAAATTAAATTGGTCTGACGGATTTAAATTGATAAACACTAACCAATTTAGTTTTTGAAGTTATTTTTATAAACAGTCGCTTTACAAGACTGATTATTAGTTAGCCAAAATTTAATAAATTTACTTAAGTAAATGTGTTACGATTCATCTGAAATACTGCAATCCTATCGGACAAAATATAATGTTAAACACTAACAGTAGTTAATACTTTATGTATATATTTAAGTTCATTAATTTGTCATTGCATCTTTGGATATTTTAATTCTCATTGTGTAATTAAATAATTGTTGTTATAATTTGAATTGAATTGTTCAATTTGTTTATATTTATTTATTTCAGTTTCATCTTTACATGTATACATAAAAATATATATATAAAACAAAAACATAAGATACTTTAAAAGCCATTCTAAACAGAATTACAAGACTTTTTACTTTTGCCTCTAAGGGAGACAACTCCACAGACCATATAACAGCTGTTTGCTGTTTTATGCACTGAGGAATTGTCCCCCCTAGCTACACGAATTTCATATTAATTAAAAGGTTATGTTATATTTTAAAGACATAACATCAATATATTCACACTATTGCATGTTTTTCTTACAGAAGTTTACATTGTGGTATAAAATGGGACACAATGAATAAAACAATACTAAAATGTTTAAATGCAAATGGTTAGAAGAAAAATTGACCATTATCTATCATTTAACATAGGAAAGTATGTCATTTATTATAAATCAATTAATGACATTTATAAAACCATATCCTGTCCAATAAAATTTCCTAAGACTGTTTTCACTATAGTTTTATACTGTCCAATTAAATTTATCTAAGACTAATCTATAAAATAATATTCACTATTTGAAAACTTAATAACAATGTTTGATATGTGCAAGAGACCACAATCTTAGTGTTATGACTTGTAACTAACTTAAACTCTCTATTATTAATTGGTTCAATTTACACCTTGCCTTGGCTTCTATTAAAAAAGGACAACAATAAATATATATATATACGTCACTGTGAAAACAACAACATAATCATGTACAATGTTTTATTTATAAACATTTAATACTTAACATATGCTATATTTCATATGCATTTCATAGCCAACCTTTAAAGTATTTTATAACCTATGCAGCTATGGTAAACAATGACATACCCAATGGGATCTTATTATCTACATCTGCATTAAAAAATTGTTATGTTTTCCAACTTTGGATCTCAGGTGAGTGATCTACGACCTTCTTTTTAACCTTTAACCTGCTGAAATGGAAAGTCATTAGCCTTATTAAAAAGTACTGAACTCGGCCAGCTATACTGTTGGCTGACCAACTTCAAACCCCACCATTTAATAACGGACAGTTCAAAAAATGGAAGTTTGAATAGTTCATCAGTTAAATAGTTAAATATTTCAGCAGTTTGACATGTTTTTTGAAAGCCTTACAGTAATAATAGTTAAAGCAGTTACTTCTGCAGTAAGGTAAAATACAATTGTATATTTAATTATTTTGTATAATCAGAATCGAAATAACCCTTTTTTTCAATTTTTAAAACTGTTATAATAGATTTGCAGATTACACATAAAATCCAATCAGTCTTGAATAAGTTTCTTGAAAATTTCGCTCATTTTTGTGAGGTTTCCTCTATCACTAGTCAATGTCCTTGCTTCACCCATTAGTTTGTTTATGGCACGCTTCTTTCCTTTCTTGATTTTAGCCACCTAAAATAATAACAAAATAACACAAAATCATTCATCTGTTGTGTTGAATTGAGCTAACATAAAAGAGTTGTATAGCATTTTGTTGAAAGTGTTTATACTAGTAGTTCACCACATCATTTATGTAACCATATTTGGAAGCTCTTCAACTTTCATACAAAAAAAAGAAAAGAAAAAAGACTGAATGCCGTCCTTCCTTGCTGGATGGAAATGAATGTTGTTGAAGAGAAATAGGGTTATTTTAAAAGTACCTTAATCTTGTATTTTGGTTTAACTTGGCCAGGGTAGGTACATACTTGCACAGTGTGATTTGAATTTACTGGGCTAGGATAATTAGAGAATCACTGATTGTGATTTGGTTCAACTGAGCCTGGGCAGCTACTGTATTCAGCTGAGTGTGATCTGGTTTTAATGCCCAAAATAGGTACTGAAGTTCTAGGTATTATCTTGTTTTACTGGGCCAAAATAGGTTCTGTATTGCCAAGTGTGATCTGGTTCTACAGGGTCTGGAAAGGTACAGTATTGTTGTGTGTGATCTTGCTTTAACGAGTCTGGATGGATACTGTATTGCTGATTATAACCAGGTTTACAGGGCAAGGATTGTTATAACTATATTACCAAGTATAGTCTGGTTTAACTTGGCAAGGATAATTACTGTATTACAGAGTGTGATCTTGATTTATTAGGCCAGGACAAGTACCGTATTATTGTGATCTGGCTTTACAGGACTAGGATATGTACTGTATAGTCTGGTTTTACTAGATCAGGATAGGTAATTTATAGCTGTATGTGATATAGTTTTACTGGGTCAGTAAAACTACAGAATCATTGGCGTATCAAAAAGTTTATATTAGCACTACAATTGACAGAATGATATGCTACCTGAGAAGGGTTTTCTTGTATAATCTTTTTACAAACATCAGTGAGATATTCATCATCATTTATCTGCCATACATTCCACATGTCTGCCAAATATTTTGGATCTTTACTTTCACCATCCAATAAGCCTCGTATTATCTAAAAATAAAAAAAAGATTAACTTTACATTAAAGTTGCAGCTGAATAAAGAGAAAACATATTTAGTTAACTCAATGCCTCCATGACATAAGATCTGTTGATACAGGTACATTGTACAAATCAATAAGATGGTAACTAAATTCAATAACTGTCCGTTCTATGCCATGGTTGAAAAATATTCAAATACATATTCATTAAGTTCAAAAGGGATAAATTATTCAAGAAAATAGACAGATCTATACAAGCAACCATTTGTACTTTTCAATTAAAGTGTAACATGCATTGATATTGCTTTCAAATTTCCTGTAAAAGGTTAAATATGCCTATTTTTGATAGAAAATCTTGGGTGAAAATGGATGCAATTTTCCTGAGTCCTTATAAACTGATAAGAAAGAAAGTAATTATACAGCTCAAAAGCAGGTGTTTTTTTCACAGGAGGGGAAACTAACCCTACCCTTAAATTTGGGGGACTGATATATGTGAAATAGACTCTCAGAAGTTATCAAATTTTGACATTATCATTGGCCAAAAAAGTAGGGCAAACAATAATTATGAGAAGATGTAACAGTTATTCAAATATATTGAACAACTTGATTATAGGACCCGACCATCCAAAGATGCCAAAACCAAAATTGAAAAAGATCCATCCATTGATTCTAGAGACATTCTAAGGTATTTCTATTTTTAGCATTAGCCTCTCCTATAAAAAGATACCATCTAAAGACATTGGATATTAAGATTTGTTTTAATACAGCATTTATTTATTATAAGAAATCATTTCAATTTTCAGCTCTAAAGGCCTTAAAAAGCAGCAGACCAAATTTATTTGCACACAATTTATAGATGTACAAATTAAGTTTATTTTCAACATATGTACAGCAGCTTGATTATGATGAAAGCCTGCAGATTATTTAAACAATTCCAGAGACTGCTTCCTGGAACTAACCGGTTCTGTTGGTGTTTGTGGTAAGGTCATGACCACAGTAGGGCTCAAACCGACAGTCCCTGGCTTGAGACACAGATATATTCACCACTAATCGTTCACTCTGATATTAAGTTTGATGATCCATCCATTGCTCATGAAAGAATCAGTGTCTCAGACATGCCCTATTTCTTGTATAAAAGTTGTCATTGATCTTGTCAGTTAATAAATTCTGCCTGTTTCTGACCAATACCCACTAATCCGACAATGCATATATGGTGCATAAATCTCTTACCTTCTGAACATTCAACAGAGACAGGTCTTCATTTATATACCAGTCATAAAGGTCTCCTACAGACTCAGGTGATATACCACTACAAGAGAAAAGTAAACAACGTAAGGATTTGTATATTTTCTACATTGTACAAACCATAAAAGCCCAAATCTACTCACAAGAATGAATAGCAAATCTTTTCAAATGTTTTAGCATTTTAGACACAGTCTTAAGGCACTTTCATTTGTTTCAATGGGCCTATCTTTAAGGTGAAGTTTCTATAGAATGATAAAATCAAATTTAATGGACTATCTGAGAATGTTACGGCCCAATTTTTGTAAAAGAGGTCATTACTTCAAAAAGATTCTATTTTATCTTATATGATGTGGGAACTCAAGTATATTATTTTCAGTCATTAAATTTTGCAAATTGGTCCAATAAAAACTACATAAATATAAAAAGAACACAATTGTATATATAAAAATCGAATTTGAAAAGGTTACCTTAGCATCTTACATACCTCTCAGAAAATGTTGAATCATGTTCCAGTATAACATTAAGGAAATGGTTAATGAGAAATGAAGTAAACTTGTTAATATCCCTAGTCGCTACCAACTTCTCATACACATCGACTATCTCCCCATTCTGAAATATATACAATCCTTGTATAGGAACATTATCAAAATGTATAGTTCATCAAACTTAAATGAATATGTGACATTGGTGAGGAAACCTGATTTGGTAGAATGGCTTTTTTTGTTATGTAAATAATCTAAGTGTCCAGCTTTATTTGTCATCCAATGAAAATGCTGTATTTCTTAAAATATCTGTGTGTTCATTTTCATAAAAGAACATTCAACAAAAGTCGATACTATTTCAAATTCATTTCTTGCATTCATAAAAATAAACGGGTAGTGACATTCTCCAGTCGCTATTTCTCCTGTTGAGGTTTCTTATTTCTGTAGAACAACACAGATGAACAATAACATTTACATAGTGGAGTTTTCAAAAAAAAATACAGATAAGATTCTGACTATACACTCTTTACTTTTTTAGGTGCAAAAAAACAACAACAACAACAGATAAAAATGTTTATAAAATATGCTAAGAAGCTCAGTGAATGAAAATAAAATTACCATGAATGATGATGTTGCATTACTGTTATAACTTACCACAATAAAATTAGCTCTATACAAATTGAGTCCATATTTATTCATAAGATAGTCTCTAATCTCATTTGGCAATGCTGGCAGCTTTTTCTCCACATTATCTATTATTACACCGGAACAGGAACCAGGACTGACATCACAAAGGGAGTGTAGGTGTAATGGTGGAAGATTGGGTTCCGGCATAAACCTGTAGTCCTGTTTAGATTCCTTGTCTCGCATAGGTACAGTTTTACTGGAAAAAATAAACAAGAGGGCCATAAGTACAACCACTCGAGAAATATCTTACTTCAGGAAACTGAAACAATCTGAACTTTAATTTACAGTACCATTCAGTGTTCTATCAAATCCTGCTAAGTTGTTATAGGAAAGTGGATATCATTGAAAGCATTTCTGAGGCATAATGGGCCTTTAAGCTGTTGTTTAACATAGGCAGTCAGTATATAAATGATAAATATACCCAGTATCTTTATCAAATGATCTTGTTTCATTGACGACCTCATCACCTCTCTCTAATACCTCTATCTGCCTCTCTATTTCAAAATCTGTAATAACCAATAACATACAATCATTAATCAATACTTTTGCAAGAAAACTGCACATGCTAGTATACTACATTAATACATGTTTGCCAGAACTCGGCAAATGTGGTTTTTTCCAACCTAATCCATAGGTACAAACTAACTTTTACCGTTATAGCTTTACGGTGCATTACCCGTCACAATAGATTAGTCAAACTCTTTCCATTATTGTCAAAGCTGTATCTGTAAAAGCTTGTTTGTACCTACGGATTAGCTGGGAAAAAACCAAATATTCTTAATTCCAGAGTTATTCTATGTTACAAGAAAACTTGCATTAAATAATGGATAAAATCTCATGAGCATGTGTCGCTCTTGCATGTTCTAAATTAATATACCTAACTTTAAAAGAATTTTATAATTTTACTTCAAAACATCTAGTTTAATTTGGACATGCCTACAGACTTGTTAAAGATAAAAGCCTGAAATGATGGCCTGTCTGAACACAAAACTTTCTAATAAATTGAAATATTAATAAAAATCTTAAATAAAAATATCTTAATAATACTTTTTTTCTAATCCCTTAACCAGCTGGAACCAAAAGGTGAATAGCCTATGCTACCAGTATAGAGCCAAGCAAGTCTGCACATCACTATTCAGTCCAACCAGGCTCTTTATTGTTGGCAGCTAAGTTTTTGTATTTTGATACTGAAATCCCTAAAACTTTGAATAGACTGCTCAAAATTTCAAACTGGGCAAATCCATTATACAAATTCAGTAGGTTTTCAGTTACAAATATAAGGAATATAGATTTTAATGGCATCTCATTTGAAGTAAATTCTAATATAAATCCTGTAAATAACCTTACCTATAGCTTTCTTCAGACAGTTGATGCTGTTGATATTTTTAACCTCTGACCTCGTTCCTAGTGGTTCTCCAGGTCTGTGTACAGAGATGTTTGCATCAACTCGTATTGAACCCTCTGTAAATAAAAAAATTCTAACTGAATGAAATACATTGTAATCAGATTATCAATAGCAACTTGTTAAAATCTGAATATAACTGCAAGTCAACATTAATAGAAACCCATTTGATGAACCAAGTACATTCGTTTTTATTTCTTTGGTTGGGTTGCACCATCACAGAAGAAGTCATATGGCGACTTTCCAGCTTTACTGGTGAGGGAAGACCTCAGATGCTCCTTCATGCATTATTACTGGCATAAATGGGCACCTAACTAGAACCACCAACATCCATAAGCTAGCTGGATAGCTTCCTCACATAAAAGAATCTGAAGCCCCTTGTGAGATTCAAACCCACATTGGTGAGGGACAAGTTATAAAAAATTTAAATGTATTTTTGAAATAATTCCATAGGGTAGTGAACAAATGTGAAAGCTCAGGAATGACTTTGAGTAGAATCATCAACCTTCTATAATTAGCTGGATAGCTTCCTCACACAGTAGAATCCAAAACCGCTGACCTAAAGTTCTAACACACAGGGGTGACAGGCAAGTGTTCTGAAGCGAGTGAACTCAACCACTCGGCCACAAAGTCTGTAATACAATTTTGTGTCAACACCAACATAGGGTAATAAAAAAAAAATCACAGACATAGGGTAATAATAATAAAAGCCAAGAAACAGCATTTTCTTCTAATAATTTCTAACATCAAGAACTAATAAACCAACCTGAAAATCTACCATTACATGTACCAAGTGTAACAAGCAGCAGACGGAGTTCTCTAACAAATGACCGAGCTTCATTTCCTGTGTGAAAATCAGGAGCTGTCACAATTTCCATCAATGCAATGCCTTGAAATTAAAAAGTTGAATATTCAAATATTTAACATGTAGTTATTATTATCCTCAGAGGTACCAGGTAATTACATATGATCACCTTCCTCACAGGGATCCTCCTTATATCCTCAGAGTGATGTAATATTTAATTTAGATATCATCACCCTAAGAAGTATCTCATATTTATGTATTACAATGTATCTAAATCTGTTATTTTCATTTTGTAAACCATTACAAATGAAGCTATACCTGCCCTATTGAGATCTATCAGACTTCGAGCCTCCAAATCGTCGTGGAGACTTTTACCAGAATCTTGTTCTAGCTGTAGCTGTAATATACGTGCTGACTTCTCGACGCAGTCTTCTTCTCGTTCACCATACTCTATGTACCGGAAAGCACCATCATTGGCTATTGCATGATTTTGCTGAGTGATCTGATATCCTGCCTGAAACAATACAAAACATAACATTAGGAATCAATGCTTTCATATAAGACCACAAACATGAGAAAACAGCCCTTAACATCACTAATTGTTTTTTAATTGACATTTTGTTTGTTTGTTTGATTTTACGCCTTTTTTCATCAGTATTTCAGTCATATAGGCGGGTAGTTTCCTAACCATCATTCCTGGAGAGTTACACCAGTACTAGACTACCTTCCTCCGCGCTTAACTACAAAAGCATCTCACGGGTATCGAACCCACGCCAGAGAGGTAACTGGATTAGAAGTCATCGACTCTAACCCCTCGACCACGGAGGCGGTTTTTTTAATTGACATGTTCAATTCTGAAAGAAATCCAATTCAATAGCTCTTGAAGTAAAGAAAGCTTTTAAAATTTGCTTATTGTTACCTATTCATATTTATCTTCATTTCAAGGGTAATTCTTTTTTTTATTTTTAACATCAATGACAACATTTAACGTCTTTTGACATCATTTGTAAATGTTGTTGCGGGTTGTTTTTTTCATGACAACCTTCAATTATATCAATATGCACAGCAACTAACTTTTCTTACTACAGTACTTATTTATTCTCACAGAATTGTGATGGATATTTATATTTGAAAAAAAAACAAACAAAATAAACCCACAAAACTATCTAAAACCAATAACAAGTGGTAAATCTAGCATTTTTAACCGATACCATTACTTCTTACATATAAATTTTTTCAATTCAGTTGTAATAGATGTCTATTTCTTACAGGTAAGTCAGCATAAAAATAGTGTTTCCTATCAAATCTTGAAACCTTATTGATCCTACATTTTAGAGCAAGAGCCGTGAGTACTCCAGCTTCTACACATCGCCTGTTTAACACCTGTAATGAAAAAAAAACATATACTAGTGTTATACCTTAAATAAAGCCAGGTCATGTATACCTGTGCAATAATACCCTATTAATTAATTTTCAAAACTCTTACATTAACGATTAGGGCATCTGTGGCCGAGGCTTGCCCCTAACCGCTGTGGGTTTGAATCCCCACAGGGACCTTGGATCTTTTCATGTGAGGAAGCTATCCAGCTAGATTATGGAATGTCAATGGTTCTAATCAGGTGTGCCTATTAAGTATGCTATTTGAGAATTTCCTGACAGTATTGCAATATGTTTTCTCTTCAAAATTGGCACTCAGTACGTCAGGAAAATAAAACACAATCAATTTTTACAATAATTTAAATTACAGTACAAATAATGAGGAATATGCAAATTCCTGCAAGTATCGAGAAATCTCAAAAAGCAAGACTCTGAGTGGATTATAAATTTCTCGGACATAAAAGAGTGACTTTGAGACAATACAGAGTGACAATTTTGTCCGAATGACTCTCAGAATCTCCAAGCCAAAAAGAGTGTCTTCGAGTGAAAAATATTTTTTCTTCAAGTTATTCCGTACATTTATTTGAAATTTTTTAAATGATACTTAAAAGTATAAAATGAATAAATAAAGAATTCATCTTATGAAAAGAAGAGGAAGAAGAAAAATGTGTTGCCAGACACATAAAACGAAAGTAAAACTAAAAATCTTTGTCTCTCAAAGGGTGTTTCTCTACAGAGGTTATAGTGTTTAAGCTTACAGGTAGTGTTCCTGGAAGAGCTGAATCCAAGAAAGAAACTTGTGAGTTCACTGGTGCACCATATTTTGACGATGCTCCGGAAAAGAGTTTTCCATCAGCTAGAATCTGGGCGTGAACCTCTAGACCAATCACTGGCTGCCATTCAACATCTTGTTTCAGCTGTTTCAGTTGAGTACTTTTAAATCTGAAGGAAAGAAAACTTTTAGATAATCATGATTCAAAAGATATCATATACAATGTACATTAAATGACCCTGTTACCTTAAAATCATGTCAGAATATATAATTAAGGTTTAAAGTTAAAAGGCAATTACATGGGATGTAGTAATCTCCAGTCTCATCTTATGTCATGATAATCTCCCTTGTGACAGTTACTTACCATATCTTCTATTGAGTCAAACTCCTGCTGGGAACCTAGAACTTCCCAGTACCTTAACTTAAGATTAGTACAGTTATATAATAACACACGGATATCAGTAATTTAAAAAAAAATTCTGAAGATTCATACTAAAACACTTGTTACCTACTTTGATACATATGTACATGTATATAAAAATGAGTGATATACATGTACATGTATCTGTGTATATATTATTTTCCTTGTAGCACCTTTTTCAGAGATAAAACTTTTTCAGATAAACGCTGATAAATTCTAATCTCAACTTCTGGCTCTTGACAGTCTTGTACAATTACCAGTTTATATCAGATGGAAACTAAAGAAACCTTTTTTGTCGTTTATTCAGGCTGATAACATATCTTTGCCTTGCAATACCACAGAAACTACAGATAGATCGCTTAGAAGTCACAACCAGTGCTGTCATTTTTCCGTGGTTAGAATTACGATTATGCGAATTTTACGCGATCACCGTTTTGCAATGTTGTGGGCGTAAATTTTGTAAAATGATTTTCTGAATTGTTTTGAAAGTGATTCCCGTTTAATAAATCAAAAATGTTTAAAAGACTTTTAAAGAAGGACACGGAAAAGGTTTATTTACGTTCTTTGTATTGAGTAATTATAGTATCAGCAATTGTCAATGTGTATTTATTCTCGGTTATCTCTATTTCGGATAAGTTGAATTTTGATCTAGTTATTGAAAAAGAATCTTTACTGTCGTACATTTACAGTGTTTTCTTTTTTTCTTGAAATAATCATCATTTTCATGATGTCATGAGTATGTTTTTAGAATTGTAACCATTTGTTAATCTCTTGAAAACAGTTGGTCAAAAATGCCCCCCACCTGTAAATTTTGATGAATCAGATGGTCTCATGACAAGGTGGACTATACATGTATATCAGGACAGGGCAGATTATACACAATATTCCTCAACTTAAGTTCGAAACACAGACACTTGGCCGAGTAGTTTTTGTGTCAGACTAGTAATCTAATGATCGCTAGCTACATGAGTTCAAACCCAGTCAGCAGGGTTTTCATTTTTATCTCAGACAACAGAATGATGCTCCAAAGAGATCAACCGATTTTGCCAATGGTCAAGGGTGATACTTTAAAATACAACCGATTTTAACAGCATTTTAACTGATGGTTTGGATCGCCTATCGGTTAATAATGAAAACCCTGAGTCAGTGGCAAGTCTTTGTTTCCTTGAGCAAGAAACTAATTACACTCATTGCTCAGTACTGGTTGGTTCCAGGAACAGATTTTAAAGTGTGTCTATAAGCTTATAGCTTCCTACACAACCAAACTAAAATAAATTCTGTATAAACCAAACACAGACACTGGAGGTCAGATTGTGGCACCCACCATGATCCGCCCTATGTTTTTTCTCAGTAACCTTGTACATCTGACACCAGCAGTACACCTATCTCAGTCAAACTTGGTTTGATTTAATTTCCATTAAAAATCCCATGTAATATCAAGTCTCAATAAAGTAAAGATTGCTTCATGTATATAAACAATTGAACATGGATTCAATATATCTTTTAAAGCCAATTAAAACATCTTTATTTACTCTTGCGGTCTTGCCATGATTTTGCAGTGTCACTTACCTTTCATCTGGAATAAGAACCAATGTTTAATGATTCATCAAGATACTATAATTAACATATTATTGATATCGAAAGTAGATTTTGCATCCTGTCCATTCAATATGAAAAGAGTTCTGACCATTCTATCATTTGTTTATCGAGCTTAGACACAGTGTATAGCAAGAGTCCCGGCTCGGTAAAAACAAAACCACAGATCAAACATGAAATCATATTGGTTGGACAAGGAATGTGTTATATGGAGTCTGCAGTCTTTATTGAGACTTGATGGTAATATAAATGGGATCCAGGGGTGTAGCCAGCTTTTTCCAACTTGTAGGCGCATAGAAGGGGGTCAACAAGTTTAGTTTTAAAAGAGCAAAATGCGCATTTCAAAGTATTTTCAAGGAAAATTATCAAAACAACAATCAAAACTACGAATTTGATTAGATATAAACTTTATTTAGGACGGTAAATCATGCATAAGCTTAAAAAACACTTTATTTGACCATATGGCTTGAACCCACTACCATCCCCACCCCGCCTGTTTTTATTGTATTTTTGGGACTTTGGTAAATGTCAATTTATACACCAACTTGTAGGCCCGGGCCTACATGGCCTAATAGTAGCTACACCACTGGGATCTTTTTTATATGGATTAAAACAAGATTATTTAAGATGGATGCTATATTTGTTTTAAAATGTAAAAAGAAATTTTTTCATTGACAACAAGAAATGGTCAAGCTGGGGTGTGGGTCTTATCCTCAATTGTCTGTGGTTCTAAATAAATTTATCCCTGTCCTGATACGCAGTACTGTCTGCCTTCTGCTATTGGTAACCTTCAAGTCTTTAATTCCAATACAGCAGAAGTCATGTACATAAGCATTAAACTATAATTGGCTAGAGCTGCAGAGTTTCCAATTTGCATTCCTGTCAGTATGCACATTTTTCCTTGCTTTGTGACAAATCCAGATATGTTTTTATATAAATCTATTTTCACATGTTTGTTTGTAATAAAAGGTAATTGTTTCTATTTACCTTTGGTAAATTTGGACTGTTTCTTCTTTTGGTAAAAAATATTAATAAAAAACACCAGTCAGCCTTTTACTGTTCCCCAGTCCTTTTTAAAAACCTGTTGTCAAAATATGCCCCAATTGCATTTATTTCTAGTTATCTCAAATAAAGTTATAAATTTTACTTAATTAAAAAATGGTTAAAGAATCATTGTCAATAGTATTTAACCATTACATCTGATTATATGTTTAAACATTGTCAGAAGCTATACTTTACACATGTCGACACACTGAGGAGTAAAGCACATGCACATATTACTTTATATAAATTATTTTAATAATATCTGTTAAACAGTTGTGGAAATTATATTCAAATATGTATCTACGAAATTTTATGTATCAACCCATAGTACTCAAGTTGTTAACCTATTTTACCTTTGTATACATATATAATTACGTCTTTCCCAACATTCCTCTTTCAGCCTTCAGCACGGTCAGGCATTTTCCAAGATTCTAACACAGAAGCTCAGGTATACACATGTAGTAACTTAAAGTTACTTACAAAGTTTTAAAGTTTTGCACATATACTAAGCTGCAAAATTATTTTTGTTTCTTGATTTATTTATAAACATTTTTATAAGAAATTTTTAGCTTAATTATATACACATGTACTTAACAATAAAAGAAGATGTTGACAAAAAAATATCCATAATGACTTATACACATAATGACTTAACATTGATTAGCAAAAGATTTTTATTATGACTAAGAATTGGCCAGAGTAAGTCCTGTTTTTACAGAGCAGTGTTCCATAATGTGCCAAAATAGGCATCTTTATATAGATTTTCATGAAGAAAGGTAAAGAAAGCTTTAAATAATTTCTTGTCAAAAATCACAAGATCTTTTATATATTTGATATCAAACTTAAGAGATGGAAGTCAGGTGAGTAATGTAGAGCCATAATAGCCCTCTTGTTTAAGAAAATATTATGAAGTCCATATTTATCTTGCACAGCCTCTCCTCCTTCCGACCCATTTATGTAGAAAAAGTCATTAACTATTCTTTATGCATATGAATATTTTAACTTTACCATTATTTTTCACCTATTTGTAGGAGAATGTTCACAAGTTACAAAACATAATTTATAAGGAAAGGATAGAAATGAAAAATCCTCAAAGAATGATCTTGATTTCCTGCATTTTTATTATATTACTACATTGTATTTGCTTTATTTCAGGGATTTTTGTGTCCAACATGTATGAAAAACTTGCCATCAGCTGAAGCATTGCAGAAACATTTTGATACAGAACATAATGCGTCTGCACCTACTGCAGATTCAGGGGTAGGTAACTTTATTTATTTGGTATTTCCTTTTTATTAATGTAAACAATCCATATTTTTGTAAATATTAACATTTTTCAAATCTCTAGTGAATGTTTTATAGTTGATTCAAATTTCTTCATGATACTCTATAAGATTTAGCAATGCCTCTCAATGTCACTAATAAAGAATCACTTGCCCCACTACCCCATTGCTGTTAGTTCAATTTCCATCTTTAATTTGAGAAAACTATCCAGTTAGCTTTTTTGAGGTGGATGTTTCTACTCAGGTGTGCCTGTATATGCCTGAAATAATGCAGAAAGAGACATCTGAGGTCTTTCCAACCATTCAAACTGGAAATTCACTGTATTACATTTGGTGTTGGTGTGTCTTGAAACCCAACATGAAAAATATTGATTTTTCAATACATTATGTTACTTACATGTATGAATTCTTAAAAATTAACACGATATGATAATATAATAACCTTCAATAAGGTAAGCGGTGGCCTAGTGGTTAAGGTGTCTGCCTATCAACCCAGAGATCATGGGTTCGAGCCCTACTCGGGTTACAACCATGTTTCTTCATATGACACCAGTACTAATGTTGTTTCCAGGAAGCAGACTCGAAAGTGATTAATATAAGCTGCAAGAACTTGTTTCGCAATCGAGCTTAAATAAATATGTTTAAACCAATGAATTGGGACACAATTACACTATTACCTAGCTAGGTTATAGAAGGTAGGTGTTTCTACTCAAATACCTTAGCTGACGTAAGTAATGCAGGAGAGGGCACATGAGGTCTTCCTCGGGGACACCTGAGGTCTTCCTCCACCACTAAAAGCTGGCAAGTTGCCATGTGACATTTGCAGTGTGTTTGTAAACCCCACAGAACAAACAAACATCTTAGACTGTAGCATTATTTTAATGAATTTTTTGCAGGAAGGATTTGTTTGTCCTATGTGCCGCAAGTCACTTTCCTCACCAGAAGATCTCCAAAACCATTATGAGGAAGCACATGAACATAAGGGATCAGAAAACAGGTTTATGACAATTGATTGTATATTTTTTTATTGTTAATGTAATTGTTACATTCTATGATGAAGGTCACTTTTGCTGTGATTGATCATGAAATCTTTTACTCTGCTATGGTATGGTACAGTAACAGAATTAATATCAGTTCCTTGAGAAAGCTAAGGCATTTAGTACTGATAAACTGTTCGACAGTCTGCCCAGGAATGATGCAGAGCTGAACTGTGCTCTGGTGAATTCAAGTAGGCTTTGTGCTGTGATTTGGAGGGTAAAATACAAAAAAAAACAGTATCATTTATTTTTTATTATACAAATGTATATATATATAGGGATGGTGATGTGTTTGCACTACGGAGAGAGATTGAAGAGTTGAGAAAAGCACTGGCAGATCAGGGTGGTAGGCAGGGAAAGAAATCTTCTAAACCATTGTCAGAGGAGGTATCTACTTATCTATATATTTTTCAGGGGGAAAAAACTTTGTAGAAAGTTAACAGTTTAGTCACGACCATGCATTAAAGGCCATATCGTGACTTTTTAGCTGTACTGTGGAAGGAAGTCTCTTCTTGCATTCTTTCAGACACAAGCTGTCACCTGAGTAAAACCGCCAACATTCCCTGAGCTAGCTGGATAGCTTCCTCACATGAAAATTAAAATAAGTTATAAAAGAAGATACAAATGTATATTTAAAATATTATATACAGTTAAAAACGGTAGGAAATATAGAAGGCTATTAAAAAGTAAAGAAATCTGGCATACACAAGTATTTGTTAAATACAGTCAAAATGACTAAAAGCAATTTGATACTAGCTAAGTTTGCACAACTTGACAATATCAGGGGTTTATCTATACATATGCTTCTATATTTAATGCATGGGTTCTGGAATAACCTTATAAGAGGCTCTTGATTTGTTTCTTGTATTTGATATTTGAGTCTTGTTGATTTTACTTGTGAGAATCAAACTCAGCCCTTGTGAGATCATTGCCTAGTAAAATCCACATTTAAACAAATATCAATTACATATTAAGATATTCTTAAAATAACTCTTTTAAAAGAAGGCTTTGTAAAGTAAGTTTCTGTATAATTATATAATGTCGCTTTAATTAATGAATGTTATGAATTAAAATTATTTTTAGTTTGCCCGCTTACTTCAATAGGTAATAGAGCATAGGACTTTTATTCCAAGGTAAGCCTGTCCCTGGGTAAGGCGAAATTTCTCTGTGACTATTGTTGTCTGACATTAAGTCTTATAGATATTAATCTCTCACCACTGATTCAGAAAATAATTAGGGATTAGTAGCCAGTCACTTGCAGAGAAATTGGTAATAACTGTTTATTATCTTGCTTTATCCAGGGAAGCATGTTAGGTGGGCTGACTGCCAAGATATGTCCAAAACTGTATTGAAATACGGTAAAATACACACAAACAAACTAACTAATCTATTTATGTTGGAAATGATATATATTGACACTTGGTTTATACAGAATTTATTTTATTTTGATTGTGTAGTAAGCTATAAGCTTATAAACACACTGTTGAGTCCATTCCTGGAACCAACCAATACTGAGCAGTGAGTGTAAATTTGCTTGCTCAAAGAAACAACGACCTCACAGCCCCTGACTTGATTTGAACCCATGCTACTAGCCAATATTAGATTATTAGATAATATTGTCACTTGATGATGTACATGTATGTTGATAGGATATAGATGAACTGGAAATGATGAAGCTCCAGCTGAAAGGGTCAGAAGAAGCAAGAACCTTGTGTAAGTTACTGTAATGCTAACATTTTTCAATAAATGATTTTTTTGTAATGCATTTTAACATTTAGTAGATTCTAAGGTGCACTATTTACATATGTCTATAAATAATTACTTTCAGTGGGATCTGAGGTGTACCACATACATATATATGTGTATGTGTGAACATTTACTTCGAATAAGAACTGATGGTCTGCATTGCCCTATTGATGTACATGTGTAACAAAAATTCATATAAGTCTAATTATTTACTTTCAGTGGGATCTGAGGTGCATCATTTACATATACTAGTATGTGTTATAATTTATTTTCAGTGGGATCTGAAGTACACTATTTACTTATATGTGTTAACATTTACTTTCAGTGGGATCTGAGGTGCACCATTTACATATACTAGTATGTGTTATAATTTATTTTCAGTTGGATCTGAAGTACACTATTTACTTATATGTGTTAACATTTACTTTCAGTGGGATCTGAGGTGCATCATTTACATATACTAGTATGTGTTATAATTTATTTTCAGTAGGATCTGAAGTACACTATTTACTTATATGTGTTAACATTTACTTTTAGTGGTCTCTGAGGTGCACCATTTACATATACTAGTATGTGTTATAATTTATTTTCAGTTGGATCTGAAGTACACTATTTACTTATATGTGTTTACATTTACTTTCAGTGGGATCTGAGGTGCATCATTTACATATACTAGTATGTGTTATAATTTATTTTCAGTGGGATCTGAAGTACACTATTTACTTGTATGTGTTAACATTTACTTTCAGTGGGATCTGAGGTGCATCATTTACATATACTAGTATGTGTTATAGTTTATTTTCAGTAGGATCTGAAGTACACTATTTACTTGTATGTGTTAACATTTACTTTCAGTGGGATCTGAGGTGCACCATTTACATATACTAGTATGTGTTATAGTTTATTTTCAAGTGGGATCTGAAGTACACTATTTACTTGTATGTGTTAACATTTACTTTCAGTGGGATCTGTGGTGCACCATTTACATATACTAGTATGTGTTATAGTTTATTTTCAGTGGGATCTGAAGTACACTATTTTTACTTGTATGTGTTACCATTTACTTTCAGTGGGATCTGAGGTGCACCATTTACATATACTAGTATGTGTTATAATTTATTTTCAGTAGGATCTGAAGTATACTATTTACTTATATGTGTTAACATTTACTTTCAGTGGGATCTGAGGTGCATCATTTACATATACTAGTATGTGTTATAGTTTATTTTCAGTAGGATCTGAAGTACACTATTTACTTACATGTGTTAACATTTACTTTCAGTGGGATCTGAGGTGCACCATTTACATATACTAGTATGTGTTATAATTTATTTTCAGTAGGATCTGAAATACACTATTTACTTATATGTGTTAACATTTACTTTCATTGGGATCTGAGGTGCATCATTTACATATACTAGTATATGTTATAATTTATTTTCAGTAGGATCTGAAGTACACTATTTACTTATATGTGTTAACATTTACTTTCAGTGGGATCTGAGGTGCACCATTTACATATACTAGTATGTGTTATAGTTTATTTTCAGTGGGATCTGAAGCACACTATTTTTATGCTCCCCGAAAAAATTTCGGGGGAGCATATAGTCGCCGCCTTGTCCGTCCGTCCGTCTTTCCATCCGTCCGTCCGTCCGTACGTCCCCTTTTCTTGTCCGGGACATAACTTTGAATCAACAACAATTTTTGAATTATTCCCCTTTGTTTATTTTTACACTTTGAACTTTGTCCGGGACATAACTCTAAAAGTATAAGAGGTATCAACATGAAACTTTGTAGGTAGATAGATCTCATTGAGTAGGTGTGCAGTGCACAAGAAACGTAACTCTGCCTTGCCTAATTTTTGAATTATTCCCCTTTGTTTATTTTTACACTTTGAACTTTGTCCGGGACATAACTCTAAAAGTATAAGAGGTATCAACATGAAACTTTGTAGGTAGATAGATCTCATTGAGTAGGTGTGCAGTGCACCATAACTCTGCCTTGCCTAATTTTTGAATTATCCCCCTTTGTTTATTTTACACTTTGAACTTTGTCCGGGACATAACTCTAAAAGTATAAGAGGTATCAACATGAAACTTTGTAGGTAGATAGATCTCATTGAGTAGGTGTGCAGTGCACAAGAACCATAACTCTGCCTTGCCTAATTTTTGAATTATCCCCGTTTGTTTATTTTACACTTTGAACTTTGTCCGGGACATAACTCTAAAAGTATAAGAGGTATCAACATGAAACTTTGTAGGTAGATAGATCTCATTGAGTAGGTGTGCAGTGCACAAGAACCATAACTCTGCCTTGCCTAATTTTTGAATTATCCCCGTTTGTTTATTTTACACTTTGAACTTTGTCCGGGACATAACTCTAAAAGTATAAGAGGTATCAACATGAAACTTTGTAGGTAGATAGATCTCATTGAGTAGGTGTGTAGTGCACAAGAACCGTAACTCTGCCTTGCCTAATTTTTGAATTACCCCCCTTTGTTTATTTTACACTTTGAAATTTGTCCGGGACATAACTCTAAAAGTATAAGAGGTATCAACATGAAACTTTGTAGGTAGATAGATCTCATTGAGTAGGTGTGCAGTGCACAAGAACGGTAACTCTGCCTTGTCTTATTTTTGAATTATCCCCCTTTGTTTATTTTACACTTTGAACTTTGTCTGGGACATAACTCTAAAAGTATAAAAGGTATCAACATGAAACTTTGTAGGTAGATAGATCTCATTGAGTAGGTGTGCAGTGCACAAGAACCGTAACTCTGCCTTGCCTACTTTTGGAGTTATTGCCCTTTGTTTATTTTACACTTTGAAATTTGTCCGGGACATAACTCTAAAATTATAAGAGGTATCAACATGAAACTTTGTAGTTAGATAGATCTCATTGAGTAGGTGTGCAGTGCACAAGAACCGTAACTCTGCCTTGCCTTATTTTTGAATTATCCCCCTTTGTTTATTTTACACTTTGAACTTTGTCCGGGACATAACTCTAAAAGTATAAGAGGTATCAACATGAAACTTTGTAGGTAGATAGATCTCATTGAGTAGGTGTGCAGTGCACAAGAACGGTAACTCTGCCTTGCCTACTTTTGGAGTTATTGCCCTTTGTTCATTTTGACACTTTGACTTTGTCTGGGACATTACTCTAAAATTATAAGAGATATCAACATGAAACTTTGTAGATAGATAGGTCTCATTGGGTGGAAGTGCAGTGCTTAAGAATCATTACTCTGCCTTGCCTTATTTTGAAGTATTTGCCCTCTTTTTTATTTTTACTTTTTGACTTTTGTCCTGGACAATACTTTAAAACTATTAGAGATATCAACATGAAACTTTGTAGGTAGCTAGATATAATTGGATAGAATTGCAATGCTTAAAGAACCTAAACAAAGCCTGGTCTAATTTTGGAGTTATTGCCCTTTGTTCATTTTTACACTTTGACTTTTACCTGGGACATAATTCTTATATCATCAGGAAACTTTATAGATAGATAGATCTCATTGAAAAGAAGTGCAGTGCAAAAAAACATAACTCCCTTTGCCTAATTTTGGAGTTTTTGCCCTTTGTTCATTTTTTTTATACTTTCTTGTGTCCAGAACCTTCTCTGGGAGCATCACCCGGTTCAACCGGTTCTTGTTACTTGTATGTGTTAACATTTACTTTCAGTGGGATCTGAGGTGCACTATTTACAAATGTGTGTTATTATTTATTTTCAGTGGGATCTGAGGTGCACCATTTACAGACAAAAAAAGCTAGCCTCAACTTTAAATAGAGCACTTTAAAAAAAAAAAAAAGACTGTGTTTCCAAAACAAAAGGGACCCGAAACTTTAAAAATTTTACTTTTTTCCAACGTTCACTTTTTGTAGTAAATTAGCTTTTCTTTTCATAGGGAAAGGTAACTTTGGGGTTTTTTTTCCCCCAAAAATATCAAAAACAATTCACTTTAAACTTTTTAGGCAGTTTATTATCAAAATTTTATACTGTAAAGAAAAAGGGGAGATCCCTTTTAAAATTTTTCTGTTAAGTTTTTAGGGTTGGAAAACATCTTGAAGTTATGGCTGAAGAAAGCATCAAAAAGGGGAGTAAAAATCTTTTTTTTAATCGGAAAATTTATAGCTTAAAATGTTGAAAGTTTTTCCTTTTTAAACTTCCCCATGTCAATGTCCCAAATTTTAAAGATAGGCCCAGCCACGGTGAATGCCAAAGCTAAAGCAGATGAATATGAAGGTCAGAAAAGTGCACTAGAAGATCACCTGAAATCCCTGAAGGTAAAGAAATAGTTAAGGTTGATATGACTCTTTCTCAAAGAAGTAAGGTGTTTGTATTTCACTTGAATTTTATGTTGCTTGGTCAATTGTTGAACCACTTTGTTTCTTTATGAGAACACAGTTTGTTTCTATTTTAGTTTTGCTGGTTACTTGCATTAGCTTACCGTGTATGTTTCCCTCCCAAAGTCCAGCTAGTGTATGGAATGTTGGTGGTTCTACTTCGGTACCCACTGGTGGTGGTCTTCCTTAACTATTAAAACTGTAAAGCCGGCATATGACTATGACAGGGTTGGTATGATTGAAAACCCAACCAGTCAGTGAATTGCGAGAGGAAAAATGTCTTTTGCAAGCTCTTAAATTTGTAGGAAAAAAAAGTTTGATCTATTTCAAAATTGATAGCTTAGTTTTATTGCATTTTTACATTAAAATCCCTTTAACTTTGAATGGACTGCATAGCAAAGGCACTACACAATTCTTGAATCATGAACATTATGGCTGTTTTAGGAGCAGATAGAGGCAAAGGAACGTTATGCACAGAGCCTGGAGACTCAACTTACACAGAGGTAATGTTGTATACATGTTGTTGATCTGTGTTATAAACCGTTATTTTTACATTTTTTCTTTGCTTTGCAAACAATTTAAAATATTTTGACATATCTGAAATCAAATTTAAATGCAAACATCTCAAACTGTCAAAATTTTGCAATACAAATGAGATTTAAAAAAATGTTACATCTTAAGCCATTGTGAAAAATTTACTGTATAGTTTTGAAAGTTTGAACATTTTTCCTGATCAACCATGTTTCACATGCATGCTTTTAGAATTTCAAAAACAAACCTTATCACAAAATTGCAAATCAAACAGAAAATATATCGTAAGTTCTCCAGTATTTTTTCTTCTAAAAGTATGATATTTTTATCAAATACCTTGCACAATAAAGTGACTAGATACATACATGTATTTTGTGTAAAGTAGGATACTGATCCATGATGCACTTTTATTTTTCATTCTATAGTTCTAGTTTATCAAACCCTTGTACAGTGGTAGTTGTAGATGGATATACTGGTTAAATATCTATAAACACAAATTTAAATAGAAAACAAATCTGCAGTATTATTTTGTTATAAATTCTTTTGACTTGTAAAAATACTATTAAAAAGTGAAAAATTTTGTTAGCTATATAACCAATCTGTCAGCTCTGGTTACATAAGTGAACAACCTTTAATACAAACTGTTTATATTTGGTCATATAACCTGTCAAAGATCTTTATAAAGATTATACTGGTTTATCCATTGAAATGACTGTTAATCATTAACCTGTATGTATATGAGTGGTGTCTTACACAATTTGGTCTTTGTGGAGTTACAAGTGATGTCATTGATTTAAATAGCAACATCAGTTGGTGTTTGCAGTATTATAGTATCATAAAATTACCATAAAACATTAACTTAGCATCATTCTTTTGTGATCCCAGTACTAACTTAGCATTACAAGATAATTCTACTACAAAACAATTTGAAAAATTAGATTGTTGGGGACACAAAGACCAAAATTGCCTCACACAGCTCATTTATTTTCTTGAGAATCCACATACATGTACTTTATTTCTACCCAATCCTTTTTTATGTTCTTTCCCTTATTGTCCTTCCCACGTACAGACCAGGCACAGAAGATGTTGTTGTGTTAAAGAAAGAGTTGATATCAGTGCAGACGTTAATGGACAAGGTGGCACTGGAACAGGAGAGAGAGAAGGAGGCTGTACAACAGAAATGTGATCAACTTAAAAAAACAAATATCTCTGTATGTGACTTCACACTTATCTGAATATTGAATGTTATATCAGAAAGTAAAAGTTATATTTATAAATGTTTTTGAATGGCGAACAGTTACCTACAGCACTTTTCCAAAGCACAGTGCATATTTTCCTGTTCACAGTAGTACTTATTAGGGTTCAACATACATATGTGGAGTATTTATTTTCTTGATAAATATTTGGCACATACGAATGTCTAACCCTCATATGTATTACCAGAAACCAGCAAAATTTCAACCGATGCACAAATCAATAGTTCTAATCAATATGATTGATCTCTCATGTAGATGTAAGTGAGAAATAGATCAGTTAGGTTTGCAAATTTGTTTTCAAATCACTAAACAATGCATACAAGAATTTCAAACACAATTTTGTTAATTAAAATTGATGCCAATGTAGGCTTTTTACATTACTGAATGGCTACAGAGTTAGATAAAGGAAATCAAAGGATTCATCATTTGAATAAATAAGTAAGAGCAAGAGGTTTTGTATCCAAATTTGTAAATTACATTGTTAAATATACCAACTTCAAATACTGCTTGAAATTATATTGAAAATTACATTTTTAACAAGGGCATTTTTACTTGCACAGACAGCAATATTTGATACTTCGTCTACTGCCTGTTTACCTCTGTAAAGGACGGTTTTGATTGCACGACTAAAAAATGCTTTCTTGAGAAATTTGAATTACAATACTCATGCTTATAATTAATTGAATAGTATGGAAATTGTTTGATAAACTAAATTTTTCATTTAAATTTTTCATCTTAAGATTCTTATACATTGGCCTTCCAGAAAGCAGTATTCATACATGAATTGTCTACAATTTATATACATATATATTATATACAGACAAATTTAAAGCAAATTCAATATTGAAGATGTACATGTAAATTTTTACAAATTAAAATTGTTTCCAGTTGTATTTGTGGGTTCAGTAATATCACGATAGTCCTCCTTTTTATGCCAATCTTTTAAGGGCCACCTGTTGAGGGTTGCAGAGGCAACTTTAATTAGAACTACAGTTGTATTTTTTTTGTTTAGTATGACGATATTACCATCCTATATTTTGAACAAAACAAATTGTCATCTTAGTGCAGTAATGAGTTAAGTCCTTCATAATTTTTATACAAGTCAACCAGTTATTGCACTAAAGGTGACAAATTATGTATGAATAATTATAAAGAATGATTAATGGATACTTGTAGGTCAGAAGAAGAGATAACAAAGTTAAAGGATGACCTTGCTAAAGCACCTAAAGAAGATGATATTAAAAGTAAATAGTACTTATTCAAGAAATTCTGGCCTCCCCTCTAAGAAGTGAGAGCAGATTGCTTTGCAAAATACAGTTGGTCCTTCTATCGGTGCATATACCACACCTTGTCGAATTAATTTACAAGATAACAACTTTTTTTCTTCAGTCTGCAGATTGATAGATTATATAGTCAATGGCCTTGTAGACACAATAAGTGCATGCTTTTCTGGCTTTAGATCATTATTTTATCTCAATTAAATCATCTGAAGTAATAACATATAGATAACTGAGGTATAAACTAAGTAGGTATTTTGTGTATTTGTATGTAAGATACCCTCATTTTTATCAGGTATCAGGACCAGATTAGAAAGTTGGAAAGCAGATTTGGAGAAATCTCCACGGTTGGACAATTATGCGAGGTGAGTGACTTTACTTTAACTTAAGTTGCAGATTTGACATATGATATTTACAGTTTCTGCATGACAATAAAATCTAAGGTTGCTCAGGAAATTAAGATTTTTTGACTTATATTTTTTTATGTTATCAACTTGAAAGATGAAAATCAACTGTTAAAGGTGCAATGATCTCTTTCATATTCCAATTCTAGCAAGACATTACCATGACAGATGTATGTCATAATCAATACACAAAATGTACATTGAAATTGTTTCTTGACAGATTTTATAAGCCATATACAGAGATTTTTGATGGTTTTATTGACAATTTCAAAGCTGAATGGGTGAACTTTAATAAATCTTACCTCACTTTACTTTTGTTTATGTTATTTTCTGTAGCTAAAGATATGTTTTTTCCTAGATTAGGAAAGATTAAGATTTAAATCTGAAGGCATGTTCATTTATGTTTTATGTTAATACTAAAACTGGTTTCACTATATAATATGTTAACAGACTGGAGACGTCATTACAGAAGGCAGAAGAACAGTTAAAAATATACGAGTCTCAAACAACGTCTAAAGATACTGAGGTTAAAGCTCTACTTGAGAAACAAGGACAGGTACACATGTATATAATTTAAACACACTACAATCTGTATCATTAAATGTACCTTATTCTTATGTTTTGAAGTTGCCTCGTACTTCACTTTAGTGTTGTTATATCATTTTTCTGGTCCTTCAAGATCATTCATTTCAGTGTTTAAAACTGCTCAAGCCGGTGATAGGGGGCATGAGGGATGTTGCATTTTTTTCATTATCCCTTATGTACAGACTCAATCAATCTGATTCTGCAATTTTTCATGTTATCTTGTTGCAATTAATGTTAAAGAAGGATCACCCTTTTTCCAGATTTTTTTTGGGACATATATTATTATTCTGTATTATTTACTTATTATTTAATTGAATGTTGACTTTTAAGCATAAGCATTTAGTTATCCCCTTACCTGTCCATCTGTTCAAGACAACTATGTAGGGTTAGTGGCCCATATTATGGTTAACAAACAATAGATTTATGGTACTATAATATAATAAGAAGCCATAACCTTCATGTCATCTTTAGTAACACATTTTGTTTATCTCTTCAATGAGGAATATTTACTATGATCGTACTTAAATATTCTTAAGAAAAGGCAGAATAAAAATATAACAATACATTGACAACTACTGAAGCATGCATCAGCTACATGTATATGAAATTAAATGTGAATGTTCTGTGTACTTGATGAAAGTAATATTATACTGTGTTCTGTCTTTTAAGTTGCTTTTTAAATATTAACATAGAGATGTATAATAGATAGTTAAACCTTGTTTTTATCAGGCCACACACAAAAGTTAGAAAGATTTTCAAAAGAACCGTGCAAGAGAAGGAGTCTCATGTTACAAAGCTTAAAGTCAAAACTAGAGAAGTCTGGGAACGAGATGAAACAACTACAAGAACAGTTTTCCAAAAAAGGAAAAAGATCTAAACTCAACAAATAAATGAAAACCAAAGAAAACTTGAAGAAAAAGAAAGACAAATTAATAGACTGAAATCTGAGAAAGAACAATTAACCAATCAGATTAAGGAATATCAGTCAAAGGAAGAAGGTGTTAGCCAATCACTTGGCTCGACACAAAAACAAATGAAGGAAAAAGACAGCATCATCAAACAGCTAAAAAATGATCTGGCGAAAGCAGAACATGATAACAAACGGCTTGAAAGGTTGGTGTTATATTTCTACTTTGTAGAATGTAAATCCTTCTAATATGGAATAGTTAAGTAGCATTTCTTTTTCTCGTCTAGTTATGAAATATAAAGAATGAAGCTTTAAAGGTTGTGTGGCGGCGAGTGGTTAATGCGTCGGATTAGTAATCTAAGGATTGATGACCACGTGGGTTCAAACCCTCTCAGGGGCAAGCCGTTGTTTCCTTGAGCTAGAAACTTTACATTCATTGCTTAGTACTGGTTGGTTCCAGGAACAGATTCGAGAGGAGTGTTTCATTATGATTATAGATTCCAACACAATCAAACTAAAATAAATTTGTATAAACTAAGCTTTAAAGGTTGAGGTAATCCAGGGTGGGTCTACAAATTTTTGTGATATTTTAAGGACCAAGATTACCATTCACTGTCTTATTCTGTTCTGTTACTCACTAGTGGAAAGACAAAATTAATTAGTGGTTCAAAACCATGAGCACTTTTTATGCCCCCACTTAAGTGGGTGGGGCATTCAGGTTTGCCCTTGTCCGTCTGTCCAGCTGTTCGTCATAGACGACAAACAGTGGAGTATTGGGCAACTATTTTTTTATGCCCCCGGGCATATAGTGATTGAACCGTCCGTCCGTCCGTCTGTACGAGGTTAACCTAGAACGGCAAGTTGGATTTTTCTTAAGTTCTACCTGTACCAATGGCTTCTAAGTATACACACTTACTAATCAAAACAAAAGTACATGATCTGGGCAAGGTTACATAACTCTGGCTTTCATATTTACCAAGTTATTGCCCTTTTCAGCACTTAGAAAATGAATAATGGTTAACTAAAACGGCAAGTTGGAAATATCTTAAGTTCTATCTATACTAATGGCATTTATAATTTCCACACTTACTTATCAATACAAAGTACATGATATTGCCAATTATATAACTGTGTCATCCATATTTCCCAGTTATTTCCCTTTTTTCACTTTGAAAATAGGGCCTTGTCAGGTTAACCTATTTCAGCAAGTTGGATTTATCTTAAATTTCTCCTAATTGCTTAATTTATTTAATGATATCTTTTATATTTAGTAAGGTGGATACCTTTGATGGTCCTCATAATTTTTTTGTGGAGTAAGCGGTCTCTAGGGTCAAGGTCAAGGTCACTGGTTTAAAAAATAAATATAAACAATTTTGCTCATACAGCCTTTATATTTTAGTTGATGTCTTAGTTTAATAAACAAACATGCCAAGGGAGGTCCTCCTTCTTTGGGTGTAGTAAGGGTCATTTGGGTCAAGGTCAATGTTACCCAATGTCAAGGTCCCCCAATGTTTAAAATAGATTTTTACATTTTTACAGGTGTATTGACCTTATTCTATAGACAGATGTTATTTATAATTGATAGAAACATAAACTTTTGATGGAGTTAGTGGTCAGTTGGGTCAAGGTCACAAGTGCTAAAAATAGATTTTTACACTTTTGCTCATACAGCCTTTATTTATTGACCCAGATATATTTAACCAGGTTTTTCCCAAGGAAAAAACTGTTATTAGATTGAGGTATGTCGGCGGGCGGATGGGCGGGCGGGCGGGCGTTAACAATTTCTTCTGTGCGCAACTCCTCCTACATTTCTCAACGGATTTTAACGCAAACTTTCACAGAAGCTTTTGTCATCAAGTGCCCTGGCGCATATTGTCGGCGGTTTTTGCCATTGGATAATTATTTTGACCTAAATTATGGCCCCTTTTGTTGTTTTTCTTATAAATAGAATATATAATGTGAACAATTTCTTCTGTGCGCAAACTCCTCCATCATTTTCTCAACGGATTTTGACCAAACTTTCACAGAAGCTTTGGTCATCAAAATGCCCTGGCAACATATTGGTCGGGGGGTTTTGCGATTGGGAATAATATTTGACCTAATTATGGCCCTTTGTTGTTTTTTCCCTTATATAGAATATATAGTGAACAAAATTTCTTTCTGTGCGCGCACTCCTCCTATTTTTTATACGGATTTTTGCGCAAACATTTACAGAAGCTTTGTCATCAAAGTGCCCTGGCACATAATTGTCCGGGTTTTGCCAATTGGATTAATATTTGACACCTAATTATGGCCCCTTTGTTTTTTTTTCCTTATATAGAATATTAAAGTGAACAATTTCTTCTGTGCGCAACTCCTCCTACATTTCCTCAACGGATTTTGACCAAAAAACTTTTTACAGAAGCTTTTGTCATCCAAAGTGCCATGGCACTTATTGTACCGGGTTTTTGCCATCGGGTAATATTTGACCTAATTATGGCCCTTTTGTTTTTTTTTCCATTATATAGAATATATAGTGAACAATTTCTTCTGTGCCGCAACTCCTCCTACTTTTCTCTCAACGGTTTTGACCAACTTTCACAGAAGCTTTTTTATCAAGTGCCCTGGCACATATTGTCGGGGTTTTGCATTGGTAATATTTGACCCTAATTATGGCCCTTTGTTTTTTTCCTTAATACAGAATATATAGTGAACAAATTCTTCTGTGCTGAAACTAGTCCTACATTTCTCAACAGATTTTGTTCAAACTTTCCACAGAGAAGCTTTGTTATCAAGTGCCCTGGCGCATATATTGTCAGGTTTTTGTGATTGGATAATATTTGAACCTAATTATGCCCCTTTGTTTTTTTTCCTTATACAGTAATTATCAATATATAGTGAACAAATTCTTCTGTGCTGAACTAGTCCTACATATTTTCAACAGATTTTGTTCAAACTTCACAGAGAAGCTTTGTCATCAATGTGACCTGGCGTATATTTGGTAGAGGTTTTGTGATTGGGATAATTTTTGACCTAAACTATGGCCCTTTGTTTTTTTTTATGCCCCCGCAGCCATGTAATGGCCGGGGCATATAGTGGTTTACCCCGTTCCGTCCTTCCGTCCCTTCCGTCATGTCCGTCCTTTAACCGGTCATTCCCCGTCATTCTGTCATTCCGTCATCATCAGTTTCCGTTCATTATCTTAGTAACCGTTCACATATTCCAACTCTCAAATTTTGACATATGGATATGTTCTGAGAAAATACAGGTCAAGTTCGAATTTGGTCATGGTTCGATGATTTTTGGCAAGAGTTATGCCCCTTTTACTTTGAAAATAATATGAAATTTTTCAGTTTCCCGTTCATTATTCCCAACGGTAAACACATTCAACTCAAATTTGACATATGGATATGTCTATGAGAAAAATACAAGGTCAAGTTCGAATTTGGTCATGGGTTCAAACGATTTTTGGCAGAGTTTATGGCCCCTTTTAAACTTTGAAAATAATATGAAATTTTTCAGTTTTCCGTTCATTGTATCTTCCCCAACCGTACAACACATTCAACTCAAATTTGACATATGGATATGTCATGAGAAAATATCAGGTCAAGTTCGAATTTGGTATGATTCGATGATTTTTTTGGCAGAGTTATGCCCCTTTTTACTTTGAAAATAATAATGAAAATTTTTCAGTTTTCCGTTCATTATCTCCCCAACGGTACAACACATTCAACTCAAATTTGACATATGGATATGTCATGAGAAAATACAGGTCATGTTTGAATTTTGGTCATTGGTTCGATGATTTTGGCAGAGTTATGCTCCTTTTACTTTGAAAATAATATGAAATTTTCAGTTTCTGTTTAATTATCTCCCCAACAGTAACAACACATTCAACTCAAATTTTGACATATGATATTTTTTTTGGAATGCCAAGGTCAAGTTCGAATTTGTGGGTTGGTTCAATAATTTTTGGCAGAGTAATGCCCTTTTCACTTTGAAAAAAATATGAAATTTACAGTTTCTGTTCATTATCTACCCCAACAGTGTTACATAATTCAACTCAAATTTGACATATGGGTATGTCAAATGAATGGGTCAGGTCAAGTTGGGAATTTGGTCATGGTTCGATGATTTTTTTTGGCAGAGTTATGTCCCCTTTCACTTTGAAAAATAATATAGATCATCATTTAGGAATAGGCAGTTTAAGTTTGAATTTGGTCGTGGTTCAATGATTTTGGAAAAACCTTTCTTGAATATTGGAAAAAAAAATTTGAACATTCAGATTCAAGCACTCATACTTTTGTGGAAATGTATGTAGCCATTATTTTGCTACAAATTATGAAATATGCTATCTTTCAAAAAGTTAAAGACTGAATAATTTCAGTGCTTTGAAATTGTAAATGAAAACTGGTTTGTGTTAACATTGAACAGTTTTAAGGGCTTTGAAACTTAAAATGAAAAAATAAATTTGGTGCAAACAAAATTTGGAAACTTAAATATAATAACATCTGAAATTTTGGCTGCATGCGGGGGGATCCGTGGCATGATGACAACATTTTCTAGTTCTTATACAGAATACATTTTTTCCTTATACAGAATATACAGTGAAACACTTCTTCTGTGGCAATTCGCTCCTACATTATTCATTTTTCATTGAAATAGTTTTAAATTTTTTATTGCTTGCATTTATATTTTCAAACAAAAATAAAATTTATCTACAATGGGATAATTGGGAAAAACCCGGTTTCGTTTGGTTTTCCCCTTTTTTTTTTTTATATTTGGGGAAGGGGAAATAACTTTCCCTGGGTATTCATCCTTTTTTATTGGGGTTTGGGGGTCAGTGGTCAAGGGGCACTTTTTGTAAAAAAAGATTTTTACACTTTTTTCCCATACGTTTTTTTATTGACAGATGTATTTCCAATTTTTTTTGGAAGATAACTTGCATGGTTTCTTCCTTTGGATGGAGTAAGGGGGAAAGGGCACCAGTGCTAAAAAAGATTTTTTCAAATTTTTCCAAAACGCCTTTATTTTTTGACAGATGTTTTTTAATATTTTTGGGAGGAAATAAAATTACAGGTATTCTTTTTTTTGGGTTTGAGTTAGTGTCAGTTTTTTTTAGGTCCCAGTGGGAAAAATAAAATTTTTTTCTTTTTTTTCCCTACGCCCTTTAAATTTTTTGAAAAGATGTAAAATTTTATATTTGGTAGGGAAAATAACTTTACATGGTTTTCTTCTTTTGGATAGAGTTGGGGTAGTTTTTGGGTTTAAGGGGACCCGTGCTCAAAATAGATTTTTACAAATTTTTCCCCTACAGGGTTTATTTAAAAGAAAAGATGTTTTTTATATTTGGGAGGAAGTAACTTGGGAAGAAGTTGAATTTTTTTTTCAAATTTACAAGTCAAGGGGGCAAAGCTTTTGGGAATTTTTAAATTTTTCCCCAAAAATTAAAAAAAGGGGGTGACTTTGTAAGTATATAACTTGTTTTTAACAATTTTTTGGCAATTTTTTTTGTCCCTAACTGGTGGGAAAGGGTAAACAAATTTTTTTAATATTGGGTACTGACAAAAATTGAGCCGGGGGCCCTTTTTGTTTAACAAAAACGTTTTTGTTTTTTTTTTTTTTTTTTTTTTTTTTTAAGAATAAATTTTTAACATTAAATTATGAAAAATCTTAAATTAGAAGTTTTAAAATGGGAATTTTTAAAATCTTTTTCATGGAAGAAAAAATTTAAAAGTATAATTTGGAATTTCGTGAAATTTATGTGAAAAAGGGGGAGATAAAATTAAAAGGAACGAAGGGCAAGGTTTTAAAAATGAAAAAGAGAAAGGGAAAAAAGCGAGCTAGAAAAGCCCCTATCGAGCCCGAAAAAAAGTCAAAACCAGCTTGTCATGAAAAAACGAACGTTTTAAAACATGTACAAAAACAAACTTTTAAAGGGAAGGGAAAAAATAAAATGTGGAAAATTTCGGGTGTTTTTAATTTTTAAAAAATTTTATCTTTTTCGTTTTTTTATGTTGAATTCTGTTAAGGGATTTCCCCGGGGTTTGGACGGAACCCTTTCACTTTCCATTACTGTCCCAATTGAAACAGAAAATTTAAATTTAAACCAAACCCTTTAAAAATTTTTTAATTTTGGGCGTTTTTTGGGGTTTTTTTAGGGATCCCTTTTTTTCCCTTTTCTATTTTTTAATTACAATTAAATTTCTGCAGTGAAAATCTAATAACAAAAAGTTTTTGCAGTGAAAATCTATAAACCGACTTTCATTTGGGCGCCCTTTAAACCCGCTTGAATTTCTTTTAAAGGGCTGGACCCGCTTCCCCCTTTGGGAAAAGTCCATTAAAAATAAATAAAGATGGGAAAAATATAAAGTAAGTTTGCCCAAAAGTAAAAGGGGGCATGTCCTACTGCAATTGGGTGGGGAGGGTGGGGCCCCGGGTTTTAATTTTTTTTAAACAAAGGGTGAAAAATTTGGTTTTTCCATGGGGAAAAGGGGAAAAACTTTGGGCATATGCACAAAAAGGTTTAAAGTTAACAAGTTTCTAAAAAATTAAAAGGGAAGGAAATGCTTTTAAAAATCCCCCATTAAACACTGTTTTTCTTGGGTAAAATAAAAGGTTTGGGTTTTCCCCTAAAATTTTTTAACTTGATGTTTTTTAAAAAATTTTTGGGTTTTTCCCTTTTGAAGTAAAAAAGAAAAAAAAAAGTAAAAAAACATCAAAAACCGGGAAATGGTTTTTAAACATTTTTTTTTATGGGCTGGTTTCGGTCCCAAAAATGACCCTTCATTCAGGGTAAATTTCCCTTTTTTGTTGTTGGAGAAAGAAAGTTGCTGGGGGTTTAAATGTGGTTGTTGGTTTTACAAAGGGAAAAATTGATGTTTTGTAGGTATGTTGTTTTAGATGATGTTTAAATTTTTTGTTTATTATATATGTTGTTGTTATTTTTTGTTTATTATATTTGTTGTTTTTTGTTTGTTTATTTTTAAAATGTTGTTATTGTTTTTTTTTTCAGGGGCAGGAGAAGAGTGAACCCGTGTGTACAAGAATTCCGGGGAAAAATCCGTAAAAATAAAAAGAACTTTCAAAAACAATAGATTTTAAAATTTAAAAACTGATATTTTTCACATGGGTGAATTTAAAAAATTAAAAGGAACAAAAAGAAAATGCGGGGAAATTAAACTGTGAACTGAAAAAATGTGAGCTTTTAGTCACCAAAATGTTGACAAACAAAGTTTCCCTATCAAAAAATCTTTTTATAATTTACTTACTGTTTTAAAAAAAGGGTAAATTTTTAGCCTAGTAGTTAAGGTTTTTTTTCCCCTCAGTCTGGGGATCATGGTTTTGAGCCATCTGGGTTTACATCCATGTTACTTTTATGGCCCCGTAACTGGTAAGTTCCAGGGAAATGGAAAATCCAAGTGAAATTAAAAATAAAATTTTTTTAAAAGACTTGTTTCACAATTGGATTTTTAAAAATAAATAATGTTTTTAAAATAAAACCATTTGGGGGGGCTATAAATAAATCCACAGAACTTTGCTCTTTTATTAAAAAGGTACTTGGGCAACTTTTTCCCCATTCATGATTTGATGGACTGTAAATGTATTTTTTGGAAGAATGTGCTATATTTTCTAAATTTGTGGGTTTATTTTTTTATACTGGGAATTTGTAATAAAGATATTTATTGGGCAATTTTTAAATTTAAAAATTTCCCAAAAATACATGTCTTTTCCCGTAAATTTTTTTAATAAATTTTAAAATTTTTTTTGAAAAAAAAAGGATTTGTTATTTTTGATTGGTCATAGGGCCCCTTTTTGTTTGCAATTTAATGTTCAGCTTTTAAAGGGTCTTTTGTGGAAAAAACCCTTTTGCTGGCGTTTGGGAGCCTTTTGTATTGTTTCCTACATTGTTACTTCCCTTCCCTATGTTACTGGATAAAATACCAGGTGTTATTGGCCAAAAAGTTTTTCGGGTCGCAATTTTTCATTTTCCTTAAACTAGATAGTTACGATTTTTTTTTTGAAATTTTTGATAATTAAAAAAAAAGTAACACAAACGGTTTCATAAAAACCTATAAATCAATTATTAAAATTTAATGGTATTATTATAAAAATTTATTACAGTTAAATGTAGGTAGAAAGAAGGAAAAATTGTTGGCCCCAGAAGAAAGAAAGATGGAGACCAAGATGGAATATAGGGACAGTTAATAAAAAAATTAAATAAAAATCAATCACTGTAGATCTGAAAAGGAGTTTTTTCAAAACTGACAACATAAGATTACACACACCTTTTTTAAGCCCAAAAAATGCCGGGGTCATTTAAATGTATCAAAAAAAAAAAAATAAAAAAAAAGGTATAGTTTAAAAAAAAGTGAATTTCAAAAAAAATTTTTAGAAAAAATTTTAAAATAATAATTTTTTATGTTAAAATATTTTTGTTTTTTATTTTTTGTTTAGTTGTATTAAAAGAAAAAGGGGTTTATTTTTCACAAATTTTTTCCCTTTTTATTTCAAACTTTGGAAAAAATTTTTGGTTTGGGATTTGGTATTAGACTGACTTCAACATAATAAAAATTCCCAAAAAATACTTTTTGTCTCCTTTATTAGCCTTTTTTCCCAAAATAAGTTAACTTTTTTCTGTTTATTGTTGGGAAATTTAAAAAAAACGCATGGAGTAAGGGGAAAGGGCGTATTTAAGTTTTTCAAGCGCTTCCTTTGTGGCTTTTTTTTTTCAAAAATGCTTTTATTTTAACAGCTTTTAAAAAAAGGTTTATCACGTGGGGTTGTTTTATGAAAATATTATTTTAAAAAAATGTATAAAAAAAATGTAAATTTGTTTGGTTGGGGTAAAATAAAATTGGGGTTATCATATTTGTATTGGAAAAGGGTTTTTTGGTTTTATATTTAAGAAAAAAAAAAAAATTTTTTTTCAAATTTAAAAAAGGGAATTCTTTTTAATGTTAAAGGGAAAAAAGGTTTTCATGGAAGGGAGTTTCATTTTAAGGAAAGAGGAAAGGGATAAAAGGGGGATAATTTCATGTTTTTATTAAGGAGGGAAAAAATTTCATTTTTTATAAGGAAAGGGGGAATTAATTTTTCAATAAGAAAGGGAGATAATTTTATTGGGGTGTTTTCATGTTACAGTGTAAAAAGACTGATGACAGTAAATTTGGGCAGAAAATTATCATCTAAACTAGAAAGGAAAGCAGGCAGATTTAATTAAGGGAAAGTCATTTATGTTTTTGCTGTATATTTTTATAAGGAAATAAAAATTTTGCTGTGTTGATGTTTGATTATAAAGGGTTTTAAAAAAGTGTTTTTGGTCTTTTTGTTCCCAAGAATGTTTTTGGCTGATCAAGTTTCCTGGGCCTGGATTCAGAGGTTAATACATAAAACACTGGCTCCTCTAAGTTTCCAAATACTTAAACTTTAAAACAAAAGGAAAACAGTAATGAATTTTTAAATTCAAAATTTTTCCCTAACTGTAAAATTTGGGGATTTTTGTGGTATGACACAAGGAAACAAAACAATTTATTCAAAATCAGATTTGAAGGGCCAGACTAGCCCATTGGTTGGCCTTTTTAAAAAACTGTGTCATTTTTTAAAAAATCACTGTAAATGGTGTTGAAACTCAAAATTTTTTTCATGTTTCAGTTTAAAAATTGGGAAATTTTTTTTTTGCTCAGTTAAAAATATTACAATTTATAGTATACTTTGTAACTAAAAATTAATTTTTTAAACAAACAAGAAATTTTGATAAAATTTGTTTTCCGACAATACATTTTAACGGACTATTCCCCGACTTTTGCAGAAAATTGTGTAAAAATACTTGTTTTACTTAAAAAATCAACAGATTTTAAAAAAACATCTTGGAAACAAAAAGTTTTTGTTAAAGATGTAATGGAACAAAAAATTATGTCATTTTGACCTTGTATGTTAAAACCCGACTGGTCAACATGGAAAAATGCCAAAATTACAAATGAAATAAGAAATGATGCAATACATGCAAGATTTTGAATAATATCTACATTGCATCATTGAATAAACAGAAAATATTTATTATATTATGATTGGAGATGAGAAAGTGAATGATTTTGGGAGAAACAAGATAACAAGTTATCAAGAGTGAAAATACAGAACTGGGGGAAATAAAGAGAACTGTTTCTTATTGGGCAAAGGTAAAAAATCTCTCTTTAAAACAGATTTCGCAAAATTTCCCTACAAGTAACAGCCTACCCTGGGTTTGAAAAATTATTTGAGAACAACTCTAATTTTACTTAACAGAACAAATATTGAGTTTAGCTCCGTTGCAGGAAACATTTTCACTAAGTTAAATTGTTATGTGCAGGTCTAGGTTATGCTTTATGCTTTTTACAAGGAGTTTTTTCTAAAACTTTTCAAACAGTCAGTGACATTTGTTAAAATTTTATTGATAGTGTGCAGTTTTTTTTTTTTTTCTTGCACAATAAAAATTGGGGGAAAAAGGTGTTTCTCCAGAGAAGAAATGACAATAGAAATAAAAGGAATAAAAATTTCAGACTTGGGTTTTTTGAATTGAGTCTGTTCAATTGAAAAGATAATATAAGGTGTAACATCTGCACCCCCCCCCCCCCCCCCCAAAGCTTTGGCTGAGATAATCGAATACTAGATTTTCTTATATTGCTCAAGTGTTGGAAAATGTAAATTTGCACCTCATTGGAGTAAAAGTAGTTGTGTGCTTTGAATGACATAACATTTTAATAATGAAAAGAGTAATAGATTCATAAGCTTGTTTTTGTATTCTTTTCACATTATAATATTTATTCAAGAAAAAGAATACAACACTGGTAACATGCACGGATGGGAATATCAGGCTTTTGGGTACCTGTTAAACAGAACCTTATTGTCAGTAAACAGTTACCCTCAGACTTGATATTCCAGATTGTTCCATCAGCCAGTGAAAGTTTAGTTTAATTATGCAGTAAGCTATAAGCTGATAAGCTTTAGATCATTTCCTATAACCAGGCTGAACTAAGCAACTGGTGTAAAGTTTCTTGCTCTTGGAAACAACGGCTTGCCCCTGACACGGTTTGAAATTCTGCTGCGAGATTTTTATCTCATAATCACATAAGTCTATGTGATTAAATCTGTCATCTGTCATACATCTCCATTCATACATGTGATTTAATCCAAGTAATTCAGAAAAAAAACAACATGAAGATATATTTGTATATAGATGTGTTGTGTTGCTATTTTACCTCAGCATTGTTCTTGAAGTATTTGTTGTTGCTATTGTTGTTGTAGATAGAAGCAGGTGAAGGTGTAGAAACAGCAATAAACCAGCTCAAAGATGAAAAGGTAATAAAGGAATTAGTTATCCTCTTATAAACTTGAACTACGTAGATTTGATCTTACCTGTCAATCAACTGAAGAAAGAATTCAATATATGAGCCGCGCCATGACAAAACCAGCATAATGGGTTTGTGACCAGTATGGATCCAGACCACCCTGAGCATCCTTGCAGTCTGATCAGGATCCATGCTGTTCACTTACAAACCCTATAACAAGTAGAGTAACTGACAGCGAACAGCATGGATCCTGATCAGACTGTGCAGATGCGCAGGCTGGTCTGGATCCATGCTGGTCGCAAACCCATTATGTTGGTTTTGTCATGGCGTGGCTCATTTAAGTGTTCATCTTAAGATAGGGATATTCAGGCAAAATAATGACAAAAATATTAAAATGATCTTTTGTACTCAACTCGCGCTAAAATGACATTTCTAAAAGTTTCAGCATGAATTTCTCTTTAAATTCTATATATTTTGGATTTGACACATAAATATATCTATATATGTTGAACAAAATTTAGACGCCCATAGAATCACCGAATAGTTTTAAAACAAGTCAGGTGACTTGAACAAATCCTTGAAGTTACATTAACAGATATTTTGGATATTGTATGATTGAAACAAGTCAAAATCATTCATTTGACATGTTCTTTAACGTTTCCAGAGTTCACTGTAACAACTATTGTGAAGTCCTAGCGCTCTAACCTGACCAACGCGGGTCAGGTTAGGAAACCACCATTTTATTCTTTATATGGAGGAAAGTTTTGTTCCTTTGACTGTCTAATATATTCATTTTGAGGGCATTTACAGAATTAGGGATGAAAAATTCAAAACTAAGAAATGAAAATTTTGCCTGTGTCTCCCTTTAAGATGAAACAATTATGACTGTTTGACATTGAAAAAAAAATACATGGAATTATCTATGTGAAGTGTCTGTGAAAAAAAGATGTTCTTTAGAAGACTCACTGTTTTAGATTTTCCATTTAGAGTAAAAGACAGTTTATTTACGTAAATACCTACAAATCATAACATTGAAGTTGTATAAAGAGATATGTGTAAAGATAAAGACAATGATTTTCTTTTAATTAATTTGTGTCAAAGAAATTTTATTTATATTAAAACTAATTGAGAATGGTTTTGAGGATGATTGTGTGATGCAAAGCATGTTGGACATTAATATTTATGATGAGTTAATGTGAGACCACAGGCAGTTGATTAGTTGGTCCAAAATTAACAAAGCTCAGAAACATATTGTATATATGTACTTGTTACAGGTTACTTAGAAAGGGGTTAGTGATCAAGTGATCTGTTTGTCGTACAGTTTTGTTTTTGCCCTCTGATCTTTATCCCTCTCAAACTTGTCTTTCAGAAACATCTTAAGGATAAAATCAACACGCTAGAATCATCAATAAAGTCACAGAATGAAGAACACACCAAGGCGACAGATGACCTCTATAAGAAGTTACAGGAGGTCAAAGGTACACATTATCTGGGGCAAGTAGAAATTTACGTCTATAACTGAAAAATTTTAAAAAATTAAGTAGAAATAAAAAGTTCTTGATTGGGGCAGCAGTAACTCCAAGGTTAAAATGTTATCATCTCATGAAAAGCAAATAAAAATTATCAAAATTATTTTTGGATTACGACCCCTTTTCACAATTTTTCACTAGGTACAGTATTAAATCATGGTTTTTTGTTTGTTTGCAAATTTTAAAATTGAATTTTATTTTCTTGTAAATGGTTTGTAATCATGAACATTTATTTGGTTTATTTGACAAAATTTGATGTAAGAGATGAAATTTTTCTGTGATGATTAAAAATGTACATTGAGTCTAATGGATGTTTATTTTTCTCACCGCTCATTCAGAAATCATGTTAGATTAGTAGTCGTTCATTTGGGAGAAATTGGTAAGAACCGTATTGTTTAGTTATTCTGGATAGCTGGTTTTGTGGATCAACCACAGAAATATTACCAATATTTGTTTATCACATAAACCACAGTGCAGGAGTGTAATAAAGCCATTTAATTAATATGATATTAAACTAGTGTAATAACACTTTGACATAACATCATTTGCACTGTATATGAACATAGTGCTAAAGTGCGCTAATATTAGCATTTCATTATAGGCATTTCAATGAAAACTGACTCATTTTGACAGTTTACTGTTCTTATTTTATATCGGTGTTAAATAGAATATTATATTCGTGTAATTTCAATACTAAATTTTTTGAACTCGTTGAATAAAACAATAATATGCTCGCCAGAGGCTTGCATAATATAATTTTAATCAACTTGTTCAAAAAATTTAGTATTAAATCTACACTCTTTCAATATCCTCTATATAAAAAACAAACAAATATAGAATGCTGTTGTTGGATTCTATATGGTTTGAGTTCTGTTTTTGATTTATTTGACACAATTTCAATGTTATATACAGGCAGAGTTGTTGTTGGCATCAGAGGCAGCTAAGGCAAGCCAGAGGGCTGATCTGGAGGACCATATAAAAACAGCACAAAATAGCCTCGAGGAGAAAAAATCAGAACTAAATAGAGTACAGCAACAACTAGGGAAGGTCAGTCCTATATATTTATATTTGGTCTTACTGTGGAAAGTGTACACTCTGCTATTACTATTGCAGTGTATACTCTGTGCTACTTTTTTCTCCAAGTGTACTCTTTACTTAACATTTGGATTACTACTTGTTTGTATGTAGTCTATGTTTAATGAGGGTCCATCTGCCCACAAGGGCACAAAAAGCAGCTTTTGTTGTTGAGTATGGCCCCCAGACATGTCACCAGTTATGCCCTGGAGTGAATTTTGAAGCACAAAGTGGTGATAATTTATCTCCATGCAATTTCCATAGAGTATTAGCGAAAGCTAGGAATTTTGAGCATAAAATAAGTCACTGTAAGTTCAATGAGAGCCTAAATGTACAGTAATCTGAGACAATATGAGAAAAGAAGGTAGCCCTTAAAAGGGATATTGGTGCTGAGCAAAGGATAACTTTTTTGTATGTACCTTTTTTTAATTTCATGGCTACACGATATGGGGAGTATGAAGAAAAAAGGGCAGAGAGGAGGCCCCCCCCCCTAAAATCTCTCACAGATAAAAAATAACTAAAGACGAAACACACTGTCTTGAAAGAAAATGAGGAAAGGATTGTTATATTAAAAAACTGCAGTAATCCCCCGGGAAGTTGGATTCCCCCAAAATCAGGTGTCTGCCCAGAGTTTCCCGGTATGTTTTATGTCTGGCTAAAGATAAAATTTACAGCCAATGCGCATTCAGATGTTCTTGTCAAAAATAGTAGCCAAATTTCAATGAATATTTTTTTAAAAAACAACTACCTATTTTTTTAGATACACCCTCCTTTCCTTGGTTTTTTATACTGTTGTAAGTTTGAACAAAAAAAATATTTAATAAAAATTGTTTCTACCTAAATTTAAAGTGATTCTTAGATAATTTATTACTCCCCTTTGTTATTAAATTTTTGTATTTGATTTATATAGGTGTCCAAGCTTGAAGAGTTACAACAACAACATTCAGCAGTACAAGAAGATTTGAAATCCACGCAAAGTACATCAGAAGAAAGACGTTTAGAGCTTTTGCAAGTACAGTTAGATTTTACACAGGTAAGAACAAGTTTCAATGGTGAAGAGAAAGTAGTAAATAAGTATCTCTATAATTATTTAGACTGTTGAGTAATTTTGATAACAATTTAACAGTTTTACATCTTAGTACGATTTGTACCTGACATTTAATAATTTATATTAGGCAACAGTCTTTCTCCTTCAAAATGTGATATCAAAGCCCTGCCTTGCTTTGCATTCTTACGCCACTCTTTTGGCATGATGTATATTTTGAATATGACATTTAAGATTAGTTTTCAGTGTTTTTTTTCTGTGAGTTTTCTCCTTAAATCTCCTTTCTATTTCCTGGATAATGATTCACCCCCTTTGAAGAGCATCTAGTATTGTTAAATCTATACTAACTTAAAGACAGCACCTACCCACAGGCTAGATGATATCTGAGAAGGGTTATCAATGACAAGATTCTAGATAATCACTATTGTTTGTCAGTTTAGTCATTTTACTTGACCTAACCCCTAACCTTACTGAATTTGCACAAAGGATTTGACCATGTTTCAATTTTAAGGGGTTTCAATATTATCAAAATACAAAAAATTGAGCTACCAATAGTATAGAGCCTGGCTTGACTGCACAGATGTTCAGGTTGGCCTGGCTGTATATAGGTGGCAAGGACTAATCTTTTTTGATTCCAGAAGGTTAAAGGATTGATGTATTTATTTACTTTTAGCATAAAGAATCTAAGGAGAGTGAAATAAATTCCATGAAAGAAACAAATACTAAATTAGAAGAGAAGAATGTGAGCACTGCTGAAAAACTCAAAGCAAAGGTAAGGTTAAAGCTTGACTATTCAAAGAATAGGTAGAGCTATTGGAATCACCCAGGTGCAAGCGTCACACTTTGATTAAGTTTTTTGCATGCAATTTGGTTATCTCCCAAACTACTGATGTGAATGGGTTAAACTTCACACTCATACTTGGGAGCATAATAGGAGGTCTCTATCCAACGCCCATAACTCTAAAATGACAGAATTTTGACATAATTATGGTCCTTTTGACCATCTTGTTATACTTCCAAGCGCTGAGAATAGTTAAGCATGCTGTCCAACTGACAGCTCTTGTTTGAGGTCCATTTTTTGATAAATTTTTAGGTATTTTTGAGACATAAATAGATGTTGATTTTAACCTGAAGATAAAATGAAATAGAAATTTCTGTTTAACAATGTTTAGATGATCGATATACATGTATAATTGCTATGTATAAGATTGAAATTAGTAGATAGAAAAAGTAAACATCTCAAAATTTCTTATTAAACCCTCAAATGTACACTGGTGTTTGTAGTGTTTGTTTTTTTTCTCCATTAACCATATTAACCTTATGTTATTGAATTCTGGTACATTTCCATTTATTTATGATATATTTTTGTAATAAAATACAATTAATAAAAGAATTTAAAGCATGAAATAAGCAAAAGCTGAGATATATGTTCAGGAAATGAATTTTATTTGTCATCCAGATTTTTTATATGTAAAACACAAATGTTTGCAAAAGAAAACATCCTTTTGTGTTCTGACACCTCAGATTTTATGTCTTCCCAGAAAAAATTGAAACTATAAAGAAAGAGTAGCAGTTTAATTTTCAGGGAAATCTGATATTTTCTTTTTGTTTAGAAACTGGAATTAGAGACATTGAAAGAGTCCCATGAAGAGGTCAAACTGTTACTGTCACAAACTAACAAACAGGTGGATGAATACAAGTCCCAGTCAGAAGAACTGGAAAGTAATCTTGAAAAGGTTTGTTGATCTCGTTATAAAAAAACATAGATTCTTATCTTAATAAAGAAGTTAAGTAATGTGCAAACATCTTCAAGGTGTATTTTTTGTACTCATTGAAAGTTTGTATTTATGTATCTAAGTTCCCAAAGTAGAAAACAATATACATTTTAGAAAATGTGAATACAGTTTTCTTTGTTGAACATTCTTATAATGATTAACATCAGATTTGAATTGGTATTTTTTTAACATGAATTTTTTAAAGTAAGTTTAATAGCTCTGTGAACAAAAAGTTAACTATGCTTTTCTCTCGTCGATTCAAGACTCTTATTTTGAGAAATTGCACTTGCACAACAAATATCAGACATCTATACAGTGCAATTAGTGCATTTGTTAAATAAATTCATTATCTAAAAGTTCAAAAACTTTAAATTACTTCTAAAAACAACCGCTCAAAGATTAGAGCATCTGAATATGTCAACCATGACTGTCTTGCTCAGCTGGACGCTTACCCATCGATTCTTGAAATCTGATTCACCCTGTGACGTCATAAAAATATAGGTGCTCACACCACTAAATGTTCCGTGGTTATTTTCAGTCCGATCTGATCAATATATGTCTCAAAGTCTTAAGTAAATTCTTACAGCATAATGAATATTTTTTGGCTTAATTAATTGTAAATGTGTTTGATAAATTATACAGGGACTGCGTTCAGGGCGAAGTCAGGCGAAAACTTCGCCGTAAATATTTTCACTTCGCCCTATATGATCTGAAAAGCGAAATTCTAGTCGCCCAAAAATCTCTATGAAATGTCTGACATGTATATTTCTCCACTCGATAATACTGCCTAGAGGCAGATTTAATTGTGTAATCTGACGTAATTAGCACACGCGCTGAAGCGTGGTCATAGCGACATTTGGAATTCACACTTGGAAATCCACATCGCTAAAAATAGCGCATTGATTTTACGGTAAATTTAAGCTGTGAAAGACCCTGATATGGATGCAGCAGATGATAAAAAGCAAGCTTTTTGATAATTAAGTTACCTCAAACATATATTTGTGTCTTATTCACAATTTTTCCCCTATATGTCCTGTTTGATTTACAATATCCCATATACGTTTGTTATCAACATTACATTTAAGTATAGGTTAGAGTGCATATTGGATGTTCTTCGTAAATAAGAAAGCTAAAAAGGAGCGGAGCTTGCGAAGCGACTGTAGCTTTCTTATTTACGAAGAACATCCAATATGCACTCTAACCGGCTTAGTGCTCCGCCCATTTTTCCGCCCAACACACTGCATGACGTCACACGATAGCCAACCATATTTGGAAGACGGTAGCGGGTCACGTGTTTTGCATAGCTAATTCCCGCATTCTGTCTAGTTAAATCAGACAATATCACGGTGCATATCCATATCGGTACCCTCTGCGAAATATTCTCAAACGGTACCCTCTTTGAACACGCACAGATCATTATCTGCTAAAAACAAACCAGCGATGGATAACAGCGCAGTAAAGTTTCATTGTAATAAGGAAAGGAGGTATGACACGTAGAAAAGATGTATACCACAGAACACTAGAGTGTTTTATTTATGTGCTGATTTGTCATGTGCCCGATTTTCATGTACAGCAACTTCACAATAAGCTACAAAAAATCGACATGTCTTGCCTTGCCCGTCACCGGGCTGAAATGAACCTGTTGCTTGATAATATATGCATCATACATATTTAATATGTTCATATACAGATCATCTTCGGAACAAATGGCAGTATATTGTCAAAAATAAAATGTAAAATTCATAAAAAACACCGCTACTTTCGGGTTTTGCAGCGGCACGGGCTGTAATATTTACATAAAAGTAAGAAATATTACATACATACTTTGTTAGAATAAAGTGAACTTTTTATTTGGAAATTATAAAATGATACTGGTTCCGTAAGTAATAAAACATTTTTACTGTTATTTTGCCTGTTTTCATTTTTTTAATTCTATGCCGTAATGACGATATACATGTGCGTGTACGGAAAAAACATGATGCATAAATATTGATTAGTAGGAGGAGTAAACTTCAAGATCTCTGCACATGCATATATTGCACTTTAGCGCTCTTCGAAACTTAGCTCCGCCCACTTGCGTTTTATAATATAAAACGTCCAGTTTATATAAAATCTGTTCTATTAAGATTTGAAACCTGAAAATTTGAAAAATCCTCGTCAGTGATTGGCTTAAAAAAATTGGCGAGCACTAAGATAGTAATATTCATCATTAAAACTGATGTAAATTGATAGAATTTGGATAATTATTATGAATTAAAGAACTTTTCATTTTAATTAATAAATTGCATTTAAAAGTTAGAGTCAGAAACTGTTGAACCTCAAAAAAAAAAATTAAAAAATGTTGTGTTGATGTAAATCAAATGCAACTAGTTCTTCATTAAATATCATCAATACACATTTGTTTATTTTCCATGCCATATACATGTATATTTTATATGCATGTACATATAAAGGTGTACATGTATATTTTATGGAATAAAATTAGAAAAAAAAAATCCAATGATATAACTCGATTTGATGATCACTTCTCCCTAAATTTCAAAACTTCTCCTTATTTTTCCTGAAGGGAGAAGTCACTTCTTCCTAAATTTTCAGTCCAAGGTAGTCCCTGTTATAACATCAATATCGAATATTCTAAAGTAATTAGGTCATGAGCTGATTGTAGGGTAAGCACATTTTACACCTGTTCAATTACGCATTTTGATTGGATGGAATTGTCAAATCGAGTGTCTTTTAAAACTTGTGTAGTTTTAGGAAGGTGAATGTCCTTGCAGAAGTATTTATACTGGACATTTATTTAGGTCACGAATCGATGGGAAGGCACGAATCGATGAGAATAAGGCATATATAGGTGCCGGCCATGTTGCATCAAATTACAGATTGTAATTAGTAATGTTTAAATTTTCCAAGGTTTTTTTTCTATTTTAACATCATAGTTCGTAACAGAAATATTCAGAATTTAGCTTAAAATTCAGAATTAAACCATTTAGGTTTAATCAGTAAAAATAAGAAAATAACTCCAATAGATGAATATTCCATAGACATTTCTTAGATGTAGACTTATATTCATAATTATGAAAAAGAAATATATATTTTATCAATTTTGAAATAGGAAAAATTGGATCATAAAAATGAGAAGCAAAAACTGGAAGCTGAGGTGGCAGCACACATGGTAAGAATTCTATATATTTTCTCTAGATACTATCATATGAGTCTATTTATTATCTGAAAATGTAGATATTATTAGAAATAGTTTGAAAATAATATCATTGAAATCTAAGTTGCCAATATTTAAATAGAATTGAAGTTGTCTGAGTTGAGCATATTGAAATGATAGTCAACAGGAGCTTAAGAAGCCAGCTGGTCACATTATGCCATTGGTTACCACTACGTGTGATATCTTCTATACTAGTGTAAGAATTCTGAACATATTCTGATAAAGGAGGCTATTGAAAGTAAGATACGATTTAATTTTTCATCACGTTACAGTACTTTGCCTTATCTTTACATCGTTATTTCTATAGTGGTTTTTTTTACAAAGTGTTCTCTTAGGATTGTAGCTCCTTGAGACGTGGGGATTGTCTATCGACTGAGAAGTCAGATATTCAGTGATATGAGGAATGCTTGAGAAGTGGGGTGATTCGTTTGTAACAATTGTGGTACAGACAGATTGGGGGTAGGTGCGAGTTACGAGTATGACTGAAGAGGTAACGTGTAGGAAGGCGCCATTTCGCACAAAGAGGCTGAGAGATTGACTAGAGTAAAGAGTGAAAATGCTCGATAGTGCCCGCAGCAAGGGTCGTCGCGACAGCCGTGTCTCGTTATCTCTTAGCTCTCGGCCTTTGTTTGATATCTATGGCTCATGTTTGATATAGGAATAAATATTGAATAATTGCAGACAACGAGTCTCATGTATAACTTGTTTTTGACTTACACAAATCAAAACTCAAACACTATATGGGTGTCACATATGAATACTATTAGTGAAGGTAAGTAGAAACGACTAACTTTACTTGACCTGTTATAGGGAACGCAGCTTCCCATACATAGTGTATTCATTCTTTTGTTCAAATTAGACATATTAAGTAAGAATTTAATAGATTTCAATAAATTTCTGTGATTAGAATATTTTACTCAAAGATTAGCATAGTCTATCTTGAATGAAAACTTATCAGTCATTTCTAAAATAAAAAACAGGGCTATATTAAACTCATTTCTATAATACCAGTTTCACATTGACAGTGTGAGAATCTTGATCTGTTCTGCATTTCTACTGTATTTTACCTATCTTTCAATGATAACAACTGGAATGAAAATTCTATATTTCACTCCGTTTCAAACAGTGTGATATGGCTTATATCTTCGTTTAAAACTGTGTGATATCACTTATATCTCATTGATGTGCATCTAAGACAAACACAAATTACACAAGTGCATTGAAACATTGCAAATCAAGGCCTTGGATCAAAACTATTGTAACTAATATTAATTAATGAATGGAGTTAAAAGCCTTTTCACACTAAGCAAATCAGTACTGGTATATTGTATAATATCAGAGAGAAATATCTAGAGGAATAAAGTGATAATGAGGCTGAGTTGAGCTATCAAGAGATTTCAGATGCCCGGCAATTCATTGTCAACATGTTTTTCGTTCAAGAAAAGAAACTCAACAACTAGAGGGAAAAGAATACAGAAATGTCAAAAAAACAGATTTACGACTTGGCAAGAACAAAATACAGAATTTAGCAAGAACAATGGGAAGAAATTTGAGATCTCATGATTTCTAGTATAAAGGAAAGTTACAGTCAGAGGGTAATGATGACCATGTTATCTCATTTAATATGACATAATCTCATTTAACGAAGTATGAATGTATCTCATTTCGCACACCCCATGATTATCTCATTAAAATGATACTATATCAGTCATTTAATGTGAATCTTTATCTGTCATTTAACAGCAACAGTTTACTTTATTTTAAACACTAACATGTTATCTCATTTCATATGTCATGTTATCTCATTTAATATAATGTTATCTCATTTAATAAACATGTTATCTCATTTAATGTGATATGTTATCTCATTTAATATGACATGTTATCTCATTTAACACAACATGTTATCTCATTTAATATGACATGATATCTCATTTAATGTGACATGTTATCTCATTTAACACAACATGTTATTTCATTTTGATATGACATGTAATCTCATTTAATGTGATATATCTCACTTAATATGACATGGTATATCATTTAACATGACATGTTATCTCTGTTATTCTTTTATGTGAGGGAGCTATCCTACTAGCTTGTGGAATGTTGTTTATTTTACTGAGGTGCCCGTTAGTGTCTGAAATAATGCATGGTGATGATGATACCTTAGGTCTTCCACCAGTAAAGCTGGAATGTCAGCATATGTCATATGAACTTTTCAGTGTTGATGTGCAGCAATGTTCTGGACACCAACTTATTCTTCATCATGTTCCAGACCACTGAGATGGACTGTGAAAACTCATGTATTTTTCTGTTTCAGTCGATGTTCACTGAAGCATAAAATAGTTATTTATTTCATAATGCCCTACCAAATGTCCATCGCATTAGAAATAATGGCTGTACCTAATAATTCTTTTTTGTGATGTAATACGATATGTAATTAGAATATGATAGCTAAGGTTATATTTAGTCTGCTTTTACCTCATGTAAAAAATATTGAAAAAGACATTTTTGTATTATGTATATCTGTTATTATGTCATCTTATTTGGATATGTGGATTTTGTGATCTGACTTTTGATGTACATGTATCTTTATCTTATAGATGGAGAAATTTGAGTCAGAGAAGAAAGTGTTAACAGAGCAACAACAACAGAAACAGTCTGAATGTGATAAGTTGAAGACTAACTTACAGGTTATTCTGATTCTTATTTATACTCTCCATTATGAAAATTCATGAAACATTATAAATCCAGGGCCTCTATTAAGTTTCAAAATTTGGAAGTCAGAGACTGAAAATGTTTGAGATTGGAAGTCACATTATATAGGTAAAGAAGGAAAAGCATTAAATGTATATTTGAGCAGTCACAAGCCAAAAATTGGAGTAAATGACTCCCAAACTTCCACTAATAGAAGCCCTGCAATCAAAGAATAAATTTTGAAAAAAAGTTTCAATTTGAGTCTGCCCTCTTGGCTCAATAGGGAGAACATTGGGTTTTGTAATCCTGGGGCTACTGGTTCAATCCTCAGGCAAGGGGAAAATTTTTTGTGACTATTAAGCTCACACATTGTGTGTTCTGGTCATTTTTAGCTCACTGTTGATTCAGAAAGCATGTGGCATTAGTCAGTTGCTTGCTGAGTAATTGGTTATTACTGGCTAGGTATCCAGGAGAGGTAGTAAGGTGAAGCAACCAAAACTGAGTTAAAATTGGTTTAAAAACAAATTATAGTATCAATTCGAGATATAAGAAAAAATATTTAATATTTTATCAGGTATTAAGAAATTTTTGGAGTTTGTTGTGAGTTAAAAATAAATTCATTTGTTCAAAGTTATTTCATTATTCTCATTCCAGTAGCAAAGTCTGTATTTCAATTTTTAGTAAAAATCTCTGTAAGAATTTTTCATTTCAACCACGATGATAACAGTACTTAATTTATGATCATAGATATTTAAAATTCAAATTAAGGGAATTCTGATTAAATCACACTGGTGTCACATTGACATCATTCTTCATGAGCTTTAAGCCATGATGTTTATAGTCATGTGTATAGAAATGACTTTGAATAATGCACGGAAGGGCATCTGAGGTCTTCCTCCACCAGTAAAGCTGAAACGTCGCCATATGACCTATAGTGTGGCGGTGTGATGTAAAACACTCTCAAACAAACAACAAATAAATAGAAATGACTGTTTAAATGATCTAAAAAAGATGTATGTGAATTATGTTTTCAATGTCATTATCTTTCATAATAAGTTTTGGCATTGGCCTGGTTAAAAGCAAAAAAGATCTGTAAAATTAAACAATCTACATGATATTTGTATTCCAGTGTTTTTTTTTACAGACAGTGTTTATTTCATTTGACAGGAAGTACAAAAAACATTAGAGGACACCCAGGAAAAGTTAAAGGTGACAGAGAAAGAGCTGTCAGAAAAGCTGAAAGAGTTAAGTGTTAGTGAGGAAGGTAAGAATAAAAGTAACACTGAGGTTGGTGAGCTTCAAGCCAAGTTTACTGCCACTACTGCTGATCTTAAACAAACTAAAGAAGAGTTGAATACTCTCACAAAAGATGCTCAATCCTTAAAGGATAACTGTGCTCAACTTGAAGTGGAAAAAGCTGAACTCCTAAAAAACTGAACATTTTCAACATGAGGTGGAGGAGAGAGAGAAGATGAAATTATCGACTTAGAGAAATTGTCATTCTCAGGTGAATTAGGAAATGCTCTAAATCAGAGTTTTGACATGAGATGAAGCGACAGTGGTAGAAGATGACAAAGAATCGAGTTAGGCAGAAGTTAATACGTGAATGCTGAGTCTATACCGACTTCAGGTGTAAGGTAATAGTGAAGAGTAAAGATTGTTTCTTGACCAAAGTTTAAATGTAAACATAAGAATTAGAAGCTGAAGAGGTAATGATTTTGCCAATAAAGAGAAAATCAGAACTTATAAGAAAACGAATGAACATCTGCAGAATGTGAGGAACAACTTTACTATATGTAAGGTGAAACTTCAGAAACTGAGGCGATCAAGTTAGAGGCGAACTATTACTGGAGCTCAAAGGAAAAGACAGAGCAGTTTAATCAGCTTTGCAAGGAGAAAACGAAATGTAAACTAGTCGTGAGAGTTTGAATGTAAGCTACTGAGAGAGAAAGAGTAATGTAGAGATAACTCATTTGATGAACTTTAAGTGAAGGTAAAAGTATATTACAATGTTTCTTTTGTATTACCAGCTTATTTCATGCTTAAAGAATTGTCTTTTGTAAAATCTTTTCATCCTATATGTGTTAAATTTAATCCAATATTTTCAACAAATTGAATACAAATTTTAAGATATGTGCTGTAAAGAGGCTACGAGTTCAATATGAACCAAGTAGAAATCCAGCCTGTTATATTTATATAGGAGGGATTGAGTCCCTAGCAGAATCTCGTATTTCAAGTTCTTGTGGGACACATTTTATCTTGCGCTATTGTTTGATAGTCATTGAAGAATATAGATAATTTGAGTAATAAGTGACTCCTCACTGTCAATTGTATAGAGCAATTGAAGAGAGAAATATTATCAATAGATTGTTTCTCTTCGTTGGTTTATATATTGAGAACTATTTTTGAATAATGCTAAACTTAAATGATAAATGTGATTTCCTTTCTGGTCCTCTATTAGTGTGAAATAATAGGGCAACATGTATACACATCATATGATATACTGTAGACAGTGTAATCCTTACAGGGCGGCCTTCTATAAAGAAATCATACCTCTTTAAATAGGCAATATCAATTCTTTCCAAAGATATATTTCTTGATGAATTTAACATTGTAACAGCAACCAAAATCTTTGTCATTCAAAGGGTGTCACTCTACAGAAGTTGTACTGTAAATAAATAAGTGAAATTATTTTTTGTCTCACAACGCTACACATGACATCTTGTCAAACTGTCCAGGATTACAATGCAAGCTCAACAAATATGTATTGTAAATAGATACAGGAAAAGTTACAGAACTTACTTTTGAAATGAATATAGTGATGTCAAATATTATTTTAGGTTCGCAATGCAATGAATGCTCAGATGGTGAAATTGGATGAAGAGCTTCAGGAAGCTAGATCAGGCAGTGAAGAACTGAAGAAATACAAGGTAAATTATTAACTGTATTTGTGATACATGATTTGTAGTTTAAACGTAAAAACATATACATGTGAGAAAAAGTTAATCAAGCATACAAACTTAATTAACACAAGTAACATGTACATATGTATGTGAGAAAAATGTTTTAAAAATTTGTTATAACACGAATATGTAAAAATTTGTATCAGTGTTCTTGAAGGGGATAAAATCATTATAGATTTTTATCTAACCTTAACTTAAGCATATAATATATTGGGAATGACCCTAGAACTGGCTGCCAATGGAGGTAATTATTGCTATGTGAAAATCATCTATATCTTATGACCATTGCTGATGACGTCTTGAAGATTATATAACTGACCGAATAAACAGTATGCAAGTGACAGGTAAAGAATAAATCGAGTAACACAAGTTGTTTATTATTGATTATTTATTTACAATTGTTATTTCAGGAAGTTACTGAACCTGAATTAGAGGGGTTGAAGAAGACTAGCTCTGAATTAAAGGCTATGAATGAGTCGTATGAATCAGATATTCAGAACCTTAAAGCCAGCCTTGATCAAGAGAAAAAAGAAAGGCATCAAGTAAGAACTTGTTTCTTCTTTTTTGTAGTAAAGTTTTGTTTCCAATTAACAGTCCCTTTAATAAGTGCCTCCTGTCACACATTGGAAAAGAAATTTCTTATCTTACAGGTTTCTCACTGTAAATTTAAAACAATGTGATAGAGAAAATAAAGGGACATAAACAGAAGAAAAAAAGCCCCAACATTTGATTAAAAGTCATCACAATGCCTTAACTCAATTTGACTTCTATAATGTAACATATTTTACAGCATAAATTTAAAAAAAACAACAACATGGAACAATACAGAATGTCTGTTATAAAAGATTAATGATATTTACATGTTGATTGTAAATGTAGGTGATGAGGTGCAAATATACAATGTATATCTGTGTTTGACAGAATAAAGGTTGGTTGTTTAGTGTTTGTACAAATAGATAAAGTGGCTATATGGGATTGCTAAGTACAATTATATGGGAACAACATATTCCAGGAAATCTATTTTGATACAATTCATTCTGTAAGCTCATATATGGCATTTTCCCCACCTTAACAGTTATTGGAAATGTTTTTAAATAAATTGGCATAAAATGATTACTACCATGACAGAATGTGCAGTGTGTTGTTAATTTTTTTCAAGGGAAATGAAGGTACTTTAAATTCTTAAAAAATAGGGCATTTTTTAAGAAAAAATGCACAGGTAAAAAAAAGTGAAAAAAACAAAACTATCCACTCTAAATTTGTTCTTGAAATTTTGCATATTGACTAAAAGGAAGGAAGGTAAGCTTCATGAAAATAAGAAAAAATGTATTGTTTCCCTTCATTGTAAATTATTTGCCCTTGAATTTCAAATTCAAGGGCAGATAACTCGAAAATGAGAATGGTGGGCCCAATTTTTTTTTCGCTTAAAATGTTTCTGTTATCATATTCAATCAGCATGCCAAGTTTAAAGAAATTCTATTGAACAGTTTTAATTTTGACTATAATTATGTCTATATGAAAACTCCAAAAAATGTCTTTAAATCAAACTGGAATAAATATGACTGACCATCATGATACAATATGCTTGCTGTGTGCATAGGACTACAGCCAGGTTTCACCCCCAAGGTCAAAGAAAGTCAAAAGTCACATATTTATCTGCTGCTGCACGGCCTTGTACAACTGTGCTTTGTAGTGGACAAATCAGACATGTTTATTTTAGGCATAGAAGTTGTGTTTTTTTTCATAAACTTGTTTGATGTGTGGTATGTTACATCAATTATTTATATAAACAGATTGTCATGTAATTTTTCTATGTTTACTTTTTAATTAAAAAGACTCAGATTGTTGTGTAGATAGTTTTAGATTGTTGTGTAAATTGTCTCAGATAATTGCGTTAATTGTCTCAGATTATTGTGTTAATTGTCTCAGATGATTGTGTTAATTGTCTCAGATTATTGTGTTAATTGTCTCAGATTATTGTGTTAATTGTCTCAGATTGTTATGTTAATTGTCTCAGATTATTGTGTTAATTGTCTCAGATTATTGTGTTAATTTTCTCAGATTGTTGTATTAATTGTTTCAGATTGTTGTGTAAATTGCCTCAGATTATTGTGTTAATTGTCTCAGATTGTTGTGTAAATTGCCTCAGATTATTGTGTTAATTGTCTCAGATTGTTGTGTAAATTGCCTCAGATTGTTGTGTTAGTTGTCTCAGATTGTTGTGTAAATTGCCTCAGATTGTTGTATTAATTGATTGTCTCAGATTGTTGTGTAAGTTGCCTCAGATTATTGTGTTAATTGTCTCAGATTGTTGTGTAAATTGCCTCAGATTGTTGTTTTACACACTGTCTCAGATTGTTGTGTTAGTAGTCAGGGATTTTTTTTGGCTTATTTTATAGCCGTTATTGGGTCATATTCCCAATTTATAATAGTATATTATTTTCCCAATCCACAGGAAAAAATTCCCAATTGGAAGTTACAAAATAAACATATTGAATAAAAATTCTTAAATCTTTGCAAATAAGGGCTTCTTCGCTGTAATAGTGCTTAAATGTTTGAAGATGCCATCATAGACAGTAATTGGTTGCATCCATTTAATAACTGCAAAATTTCAGTCATGCAGTTTTTCCAAATTGTTAACAAAACACGGCTGAAATTCCCAATTCCATGGGTATGGGTTGTGTTCCCAAAATACTGGAAAAAATGCCTGGTTGTGTCTGAGTTTTGAGAAAATAGTACCAGATTTTTGTGGGAAAGTGCCATAGCCAGGTTTTGTATAAATAGTGTCAGATAGTTTTATGAGTAATGATCAGAATGGTAGGTAAATTGTGTCAAATTCTTGTGTATTATATATAATGCCATTGTTGTGTACATAATGTCAAGACTATTATGTGAATAATGCCTGATTGTGATGTACATAGTGCTAAGTTGTTTTGTGAGTATGTTCTAATTGTTGTGTACATACTGTCAGGTTGTTGTGTACATAGTGTTAAATGCCCTAGATTTATGGCAAACCTACTTACAGTAAACTCTGCTTATAACATATTCAGGGGACCACCAAATTTATATATTTATCTATTTATATAGTCATAATATCCAAATATTGTGATATAGAGTCAACCAATTTGAAGACAAGAGTTGGGACTGCAGCAACAGCATAGTTATAAGGGGTATATCATCATACATATATATTTTGTATATATTATATATGTCTGTCTTTGCCATATATGTTTTTTGTAAATATGGCCAAAGACATTTTGCATGCTGATAGCCAATAAATTTTGAAACCTTTGTTATAAGGGTTATATCGTTATAAGTGGAGTTTACTGTATTGTGTCAGATTTCGTTTGTTAATATTGAGTTTGTTGTGTGATTTCAGGAAGTTTCGGCACTTGAAGAAGCAAAGGGAATTCTTATAACACAAAAGGTTGAAGTGCAGAATCAACTAGATGGAATGGAAGATAAAATAAAACAGGTATACATTGTACCATCTTGTCTTTTTGTGTCTTTTCAGTTACCTTGTGTCTATAAGAATAGTTAGTCATACTGATTGAATTTTATTTCTTGATATTTGTTTGTTTTTTGACTACATTCAGCATGTACATTCTGTCACAAACTTGACTATTCAGAGAATGGTGGGGCCTATCCTACTGTGTTGACATTTCCCCCACCCCCATCAGTTTTTTAAGGGGCAGACTCTTGCCTCCCTATTTCATTTTCATATAAAATGCTGTAACAAAAGTACTTCTGTTACCAAATACTGCCTGGTTGAAATTAGGGGTTATGTGATCTTAAATAATTTCTTACTGAAGTTTTGCATTCAAGTCTGCTGAATGTATTTTCTTAAGGCTTTATGCATCACTTCATGATAATAATTTTAGGTCAGTCTTAAAATTTACCCTTAACCGGCTGGAAATGATAACGTAAGACATTGCCAGTAGTACAGAACCAGGCCAGCCTGCAGTCAAACCAGGCTCTATACTTTTGGTAGCTGAGTTTTTGTATTTTGATATTGCATTCCCTTAAACTTCAAATGGACTGTTCCTTTATCAACACAGGGCTAGTCCATTGAAGAAATTCAGCAGATGAAGGGTTAAGAAGCAAGATAATGACATTAAGTAAACGACTGTGATCAATACTAATCATGTACCTATTATTATAAGTGACTCATCAAAGCTGAATCATTTTTGACCTCTGCATGACCTTTGTCTTAAAACTTTAACAGGTTTAGTTACAGCATATTGTGGTTACCTCCCTTGATATTCTATTAAATTAAATATCTCCTTTGATATTCTATAAATGGAGCAGACGGTGTTTATGACATTGATGATCTCTGAATATGACAGATTAAATGAGATTTCACCAATTCATAATCTATTCAGGGCCATTGTGCTATGTTTTTATGAGTTTGTGATGAACTGCTTATAACAAAATGTCAAAAGAGCGCTGCAGTATGTTCAGTCATAAATAGATCATCTAAATCAACAGGGAATATAAATTTATGACCTGTCTAGCTGTTTGTTTACTGACGCAATTTAGGAAATTATGTTGGTACCAGTATCTTGTTAAAGGGTTTTAATTCAATAGAACTGGTTAAATATGGTACATGTATTACATAGTGCAATGTTAACAAGCCTCATACCTTATGTGACTTTGCTGTTAAACCATGATATTATTCTGTGGTATAATTTAATTAGTCCCTCTGATATTTTCAGTATTTACTTTCTTAGCTTAAAGGGACTTCACTGAGATGGGACATGATATATTTTGTGTAGGTCTAGACTGATAATTTGCATTCAAAATATTAGATCATTTGCTTATTCTGATATTCCAGAATAATTTTTATGTGCAAAATAACTCAAAATTGAGCTGAAGATTGCACACAAAGAATCGATATTCAGTTCAAATCTTGAGTATATTTCTAATATTGTTCTTAATTTATTTTTACATTTTATTAAGTGTCTCAGTAGATGTATGTAAGATTTTCACATTTTATGTTTTCAAACTTTTGGACCTAAGTAGAGTCGCGTTAAGAACAAAACCAATGGCTCTTCACTGCTGTAGGTTCCAGTCCAATCCGGGACTTTTTTCAGGTAAAAAGGCTATCCAGCTAGCTTAAGGAAGGAAGTTGGTTCAACTCAGATTTCTGCTAGTGCTTGAAATAATGCATTAAGGGTCATCTTAAGTCTTATGCCTCCAGTAAGCTTAAGTCACACAGTGACACATGGTGACACACATTGTCACACCTTTACCATGTTGGCGTGACTTTAAATTCAATCACACAAAAATGAAAACAGGAAAAAAAAACTAAAAATCCAACCACACAAAAATGAAAACTGAAGAAAAAAAACCACTTCAAAATTCAACCACACGGAAAATAAAAAAATCCAGACTTATCAATATTTAAGCCTCAGATAGATCTATATCAAAAAAGAAAAAAACTGTGTGACAAAACTGACTAGTCTTTATCAAATTAGTATTAATTAATGTCTGTTGTTTAAAAACAATTGCTAGAGTACATGTAGTTGTTTTTAATGTTAATGTTTTATCAATTGTTTAGGTTAATGGATATTTATGCCTATTTATGCATCAAATAATGCATAAAGAGGCACCTGAGGTTCTTCCTATGCCCAATAAAATCTGGAAGTCACCATTTAACTTTACTGTATTATCATAGGGGGTAATATTGCACTATATGTAACATCATGTCAGATGTCTGGCTATTGCACTGTAAACTGTATATCTATGATATAATAATAGGTTTGGATAGTTGGTATCCAAGTCTGGATACTTTCCTATTGTCTGGTTCTGTCATCCCTAAACTGTAACTGATCAAATAAGAAGACTTCTGGAAAATTCCCAACGAACATGATGACATCTGAATTATGTGATGTGACAGTATAATTGGCTGTTTGAGACACATAATTATCACTTTAAAGTTTGTTGTTAGAAGCTGTCTGTGAAATATGACTTCATTTCATTTCACACCACATTCTGCATGCAATTGTCACCATGTGATTGATGTAGTACTAACATTTAAGTCCCATGCAAATCATTATTAGCAGAGTAAGATGTTTATTTAGTGTTTATTCGGAGTAATTTATCAACGTAGTGTTGTAATGTGGACAACATCTCCTCTGTGAAGACAGATTACGCGAGAGATTGTTCAATTAAAGTTAACAACTTATTTCATGAAAATAGTAGCAACTTGGGAGATAATTATGGCGGGAAAACTTCACTGCCAGTTATTATTTCAAGAAATAGAATGTTATGTTCGTCTTGCACGCTAAATGCCAATTTTTGTGCGAAAATAACAACAACAACATACATTCATTGTTTAGAGGACATTTAATCATGATTACATTTAATGTATTGTCTATTCTGTTATATTTATGTAAGACAGTGACCCGTGTTTTGATTTCCATCAAGTGACATAATGTAATCGAGATTGATGATAAGTGAGGGAATTACTTTAGAATTTTATATCTTTCTGATGTATTGTCTTCTGATATGTTAATGGTTTTATATTCTCTACAAAACTGCTGTTTATACTCTTAATGTAATTATAATGATGTGATAAAACAGAAAAAGACATGACAATAATATCAATATTGATATTGTTTTCTAGACCAATCTAATTTAAGGTGAATAAAGTAATATAGTGTTAGTTACCCAGGAGGAGAAATGTAGCTTTTAGCAAAGATCATTTTCACTGTCACTGTGATACATATAACTTACTTAGCGTCCTGTTGTGGGTTTGAATCCAAACAGGGACTTATGATTTTTTCATGTGAGGATGCTATCCAGCTAGCTTAAGGAATGTCAGTGGTTATACTCAGGTGCCTGTTTGTGCCAAGAAAAATGCATAGGAGGACACCTGAGGTGTTCCTCCACCAGTAAAGCTGGAAAGTCACCACAAGACCTAAACTATGTTGGTGCACATAACCCCCTCCCCCCCCACATACTTGACACTCTGATACACATTCTACTTGCAGCGTGATACATATACTTCACACCATAATACACATACTTGACAGTGTGATACACATACTTGACATTGTGATACACATATTTGGCACTGTCATACATATACTTGACACTAAGATACGCATATTAGGCACTGTGATACACATACTTGACACAATGATACACATTCTTGGAACAGTGATACACATACTTGACACTGTGATACACATACTTGGCAATTTGATACATATACTTGACATTGTAATACACATACTTGACATTGTGATATATATACTTGACACCATGATATACATATTTGGCACTGTGATACAGATACTTGACATTGTGATACACATATTTAGCACTGTCGTACACATACTTGGCACCATGATACACATATAAGACACTGTGATACACATACTTGACACCATGATACACATACTTGACACTGTGATACACATACTTGGCACAGTGATACACATACCTTGTACTGTGATACCTGGATTTGTGATACACTTACTTGGCACAGTGATACACATACCTTGTACTGTAATATCTGGATTTGTGATACACTTACTTGGCACAGTGATTGCATACCTTGTAGTGTGATACACATACCTTGTACTGTGATACACATACTTGACACCATGATACACATACCTGGCACTGAGATACACATACCTGGCTCTGTGAAACACATACCTTGTACTGTGATACACATACCTGACACCGTGATACACATACTTGGCACTGTGATACACATACCTTGTACTGTGATACACATACTTGACACTGTGATATGCATACTTGTCAATTACACAAATCAGGCAATGTGTACACAAACATTGCTTTTTGACACCTATACTAGCATATACCATTAAAGTGATACACATGCCTTGTACTGTGATACACATACCTTGTACTGTGGTACATATATCTAGCATTTTGATACACAAACCTGACACCTTGGAATTGTTAAGGACTGTGCAATAAGTCATTAAAATTAGAAATACTATGTACATTTTTTTAAAAAGAAAACTTTTAATACAGGCAGAAGATGCTGTCCAAGAAGCAAAGAGTAATTCAGCCAATGTTCAGCAGATGTTAAGGGAAGAAAACTCAGGACTACAAACAAAGCTGGTATATATTATTTATCTTATCACATTACACAAATAAAATCAAATATTTTTTTTAAATATTTCTAAGCCATTGAGTATTGCTTGTGTAGAAAAGGCTTACTGACTTATAACAGCAGGTTAGCTCAGAGGGTTGTAGACAACATTATTTCCAATCATTCATGGGATATTTTATATATACCAATGCCAAAAGCTCAGACGAAGACCTGTGTCAAAGATAACATATACAATTTAGGTTGGTCAAAGGTCAAGGTCACAGTGCCATAAAAAACAGTAGATGATTTCTGCTCATTAATTGAAGAATCTTGTGTTAAAATAGAGGAGCATAAAATACCTAAAGATTGCCAAAAATGGTGGTTGCAGGCACAGTTTGATCAAGTCTGTTCACAAATGGTAGTTGTAAAAACAAGCTATTGTCCACAACCCCCTAGCACTGACTTAAGCCTCTGTTATATTCATCTGTTATATTCAGTGCAAATAAATTTTATTTATAGAATTCTCCGTATATAAATTCTACAGCTATAAATAAGACTATAATATTGTGTTTACCTCTCTTCCTATAACTTAATGTACCGTTAAAGAGTACTGAGGCTGATCTATGATGTAATTATAATGCTAAGTAGGCAAGATTTCATTCCTAAGTTAAGGTCATGTGCCAAAATTATACCATACTTCTAGATAGCTATGTCTGGCCCATAAACAAGTCTTAACTAAGTGGGGACTAGACAAAATGTACCACTGGAATTATCTGAAATGATGAATTTACTATTCCAGTTGTGTATAATTGCAGTTTTTGGAAAAGGAAAGCATTTCCTAATATTTGATCTTGAATGTTTGTATGCTGTTGGTAAGAAATTGACAGATGATATTGATGATAATGCAGTGATGATATTGATGACAGTGATGGATGGTTATGATGATAAGATGATGAAGATGATATTGATGATATTGGTGATGGTGGTTATGATGATGATGATGATGATTATGATATTGATGATAGTGATTGATGATGATGCAATGATGATATTGATGATAGTGATGGTGATCATGGATATGATGATGATGATGATGATATTGATGTAGAGATGATCTTGTTGGTCATCTAAATGATGATGATGATGATGATGATATTGATGTAGAGATGATCTTGTTGGTCATCTAAATGATGATGATGATGATGATGCTGCTTCTGATGATGATTATGCTGATGATTATCACAATGATGGTTATGCTGATGATATTCATGATGTTAGTGATCATAATGATTGTTGTTGTTGTTGATGATGATGATGATGATGATGATGATTATGATGATGTTGATTGTGATTATGCTTATGAAGATGATGGTGATTTAGATTATGAAGATGATGATGGTGATTGTTGATGATGATAATGATTATGAAGATAATGATGGTGATTATGACAATGATGATAGTGATTGTTGATGATGATGATGATGATGAAGATGATGATGGTGATTATGATGATGATGATGGTGATTATGATGATGGTGATGATGATGATATTGGTGACATTGTTGATATTGTAGGATGACAGGGAGAAGAAATGTGGTGAGTTAGAGAGACAGCTAGAAGAGGAGAATGCCAGAACTGAAATGCAGCTATCTGTTCTCAATGAGAACCTAGGAACAGTGAGGGTAGATCTTGTCACAGCTCAACAACAAGTTTCAGAACTTACTAAACTAACAGATGAATTAAAGGGAGAGAAATTAGGTAACAAAATAATGTCAAGCATCAATGATATTATTTAACAGATACAGTCTGGCACTTACAAGAGAATATTTATGCCCCTGTTTGGGGAGGCATATAGAATGGCCCTTACCTGTCAATGCTATTCTCGTAAACGGACAAAATAGTGGAATAATTTTGGGCATGCTTATCATGTAGACACATGTAAGGTCTGCATGTTTCATATTTGATCAGAAAAAAATTTATTGAAAATTAACAAAAAACTTTTGCAGTAAAAAAGGGTAGATCTAATATTGTTTAATGCATATTTTAAATTCATTAATTGGTGTCATCAAGGTGTGTAACAATTTCTGTTAGTATATATTGGAGTGTATTCTAACTAATATTAAAGGGACTCGACAAAAGTATTTTGACATGAAGATGCTGGAAATACTTTCATTTTATGTTGGTTTGGAACAATAATTTAGATAATAATAATTTTAATTTCACAAAATGACCCCAAAATAAAGCTTTTAAACCCTTTAACTCATATCAAGCTAAGGATCTAACAAAACATTTAATAAACATTAAATATTTTAATTCTGAGAGTATATTTTTCTTATATATATTTTTTTTTTGCATGTTATTCCCCTTTAAGTACCTTAGTTGATCTATTTAAGAATTATTATAATTGAATGTATCGTTTCAGAACTGGAAGCTAAGCTTGAGAATAGTAATGATGAAAGAAGACTCTTGTTAGATAGGTTTGTATGCAATAAAATATGTTTTGCTCTATGAAAGTTTATTATTTAATTGTTTATACTCAATCAAATTAAAACCACAAGATGAATGATTGACTTTGAAATCTTTGTTTTTGACATAACTGGCTAAGGAGCATCATATTAAATGAATGATTATATACTAGTACTATATAATATAGTAAATTTAAAAAAAAACTAGAAATAAGACACATACATGTAAAAACCATTAAGTTGGGTGTAGTCCGAGCCATTATGCCTCCTTCTTTCTTGGTATTGGCTTACGAGCCTAATCCCCATTAGAGGCATACTGACAAGATCTTAACCAGAAGGCATTGCTCTTCAAGGTGAGAGGCGGGGATGGATGGTGGTGTAAATGTTTTGTTTTTTTAATTAATGTATGTGTAAACAAAGAGCGCTATGGAAATCGAGAGGCTGCATACTAAGTAGCTGCTGATCATTCTTTGTTGATAAGGGAGTAGGTTAAGTCACATGATATAAGAATCCGGATATTGGTCAAGTACTGACAATGTGAACATGAAATAGAAAGAGTTAATTTGTAGATCTTGCATAAACTGCGTTTACTATGTACACTTCAATTATTTTATCACTTTTATAATGGAATGTTTCAAAATCCTTTCCATTTCTATTTAGCAGATTTTTGTCAATAAAAATTGTTGCTATGGGTACCAAACAACAAAATAAATGACAAAAATATAGCATTTACTAGACTTTAAATTATACAATTGCTCACACAATGATAAATAGCAATGCAAAAATTTTGCTTCTTATTTTGTTTTGCATCCTAGGTAGCCCAGAGCTCTATTTGGCTGGTGCATATCATTTTGTCTTGCATTACAGGTAGCAAGCAAAAAAAAGGCATTTACTAGAGTCTCAATTGACTTGTGCAAAACAAGCACTGATTACATTTTAGCACCACTTTTGTCAATTTCAAAAGACTATAAACAATGTGTTTCAAACATGTCTTTTGATGTCTTTCCAAGAGTTAAATTTGAAAGTCTGTGGTACTTTCTTTCTATATTTTTTGTTAATCTTTGTTTTCTGGAAATTGTTGAATGAACTAATAGAATAAAACACATATGTGTTTGTTATTATTTTTCTCTCTATTTGTAGGTGTGTCAAGAGTGAAGGAGAGTGTGAAAAGTTACAACAAAAATCTCTAGATTTAAAACGTAAAGTAGATGATATGACCACTGCTCTACATGAGATGGGTAGAGAGAATCAATCACTTCAGGTAAATGTTTCTGATATATATATCATGTTTATGATAAACTTCATGTTTCTGATATACTTCATGTTTCTGATATACTTCACACTTCATGTTTCTTTTTTATTGATGAATAAACAGCGTAAACCACCTCAAATATTCTTTGACTTGAGATCAATTTACGCCAGTACTTTAAAGAGACATACATGTATAAACCTCTTGTGACCCAGATTTTAAATGATTTTTTTTCTGAATTTAATGCTGCTTTTTAGATGCAGTTCAATGGCCTCATTTCTTGTCAATGTAAGAACTCTCTTAGTTTAATTGATTGACTTGCATAAACAGTTTTAAATCCAAGTTATGACCAAGGGTTATGGTGTGATTCTTAGTATAGTTATATTCTATCTTGGTAAGAAATAAGTAAAAGAATTTTTCTGAATGTCTGACATATAAAAGTACAACATGTGATGACTCCATTGTAGATAACAACAACAAAAGTACAGAGTCGTAAGTGGGCAGATGACAGTGAAGTGAAAGATTGCATGGCTTGCAGTAAAAAGTTCTCTGTTACAGTAAGAAGGGTAAGCGCCTCTTCTTACAAATGAAAGATTTCATTTCATTTCTTCTCACATTGCTTTCCCTGTTTCAATTGCCATATAATAACCATGTAATATTTGTGTTATTACTGTGATATATATATATATATAAAAAAAAGCATATTTACTGTCATATGGGCATAAAGATGCATGTAGATTCAACTTAAAATGTATCAAATAGTAGATTTTTAGGAAATCACAGGTCTGCATTGAATAGATGCTTACCAAAATTTGTTTAATAATAGATAATTTTAAGATACAGTATACAATTTTTATATGTCATCCAGGCCAGTTTGTACATACAGCCTGAACATCTTTAGATTTTGATCAGACTCAAGCTACATGTACTTATATCTTACATTTTTATTTTGAATAAAATCTCTTAATTTACACTTCAAAATGCAAACCAGGGAAATTTTTCCACAAGACATCTTGTGTGTTGTTTTAGTCTAAAATTCACTGCTATACTAATAATGAAGTAAAGTGAGTTCATTGATATTGATAAAGATTTTTTTTATATTATCAATTAAAGTTTAAAAAAAAACGAAAAAAATCCAGTCAATCAGTTTATCATAATTTGACAGAATGATGTTTACAGATCACTAGAACACTCAACAATTCCATATAAATTCACTTACAGTTACAGATATAATACAAATATAATACAGATATGGCATTGAGTTTGTTAGGAATAGGAATGTTACCACATTTACGTAATATTCAAACTAATGAAATAACCAAGTTTTTATTATATAGATCAGTTCAGCTATTGACTGTGATAATTACCAACACTCACAGCTGTAAGGCATATCATCTATACCATTGATTGCACTCTAGATGTCAAAATTTTCAGCGTCAACGTTCATGAAATAGACAATAAAATATTACTGCTTACAAAAGTTGAAATAAATTTAGTTACTTAATTAAAGAAGAAACATGTAAACTGATAGATCGACAGCCACCGAACAAAGAAAAAACTGAATCAGGCATTTTTGGTGCTGTCCGGGTTGGGTGGTTGTCTGGTTTTGGTGGTCCCCAACCAGTAGTGAGGTTGTCCTACATAGTAGGGCTTTCCTGAGGATGATGCTTCTACTCAGGTGCTTATGCCAGAAATAATGCACAGATTAGCAGCTGAGATCATTCTATAGCTGGAAAGTCACTGTATGTCTTTTGTAATGTTATTGTGACTTAAAACCAAATTACAAATGTAGGTAATAAATAATGTATAGATTCTATGTTTACGATTTTAAGTAAGGAAATTAAGAAGATTAAAGACATTAAATGAAGTTAAGAAGCACAAGCTCTCTTAATAAAAATACAAAAGAAAAGGGTAAAATAGTAAATAAAATATCTTATATTTGCGTATCTTTCGTAGCTGTAAGTATGTAGACATATAGCTCGAGTATAGAAGTTTAACTAGCTGAGTATCATGTAATTCAATTCCAGCGCCTTGATTTATGCTATTTCTGTATTGATTGAAGTTATACTGTCTGGCTTGGTAAGGTGATTTATTTAGTTAAGTGTTGATTTCACTACATCCGTAAATATCATGTTTTTAGTTATCATTGAATATTATTCTGATAAAGTATATAAAGAGGTTATAAAAGATTTAGGAAAATAATGATTATGAGATAAATAAAAAAACTATTTAGTAAGTTGATGTCTAAGTGCTGAATAAAAATGATAAGTTTTTATGATAGTTTACTCGTCGTAAAAACATCATAATTATATTATATAAAATAAAAAAAAATATCATCTTACGTGATAAATGTTACTTTGTTATGATAATTTTTTTTGTCATAAAATCATCACGAATTATATAAAATAAAAAATATCATCATAAGTGGCAAAACATTAGATTTCAATATATCAAATAATGCTATAATGTAAAGAAAAATTGAGCTGCGCCATGAGAAAACCAATATAGTGCGTTTGCGACCAGCATGGATCCAGACCAGCCTGCGCATCCGTGCAGTTTGATCAGGATCTATATTGTTCACTGTCAGTTTCTCTATTTGGTAAAGGGTTTGTAAGTGAACAGCATGGATCCTGATCAGACTGTGCGGATGCGCAGGCTGGTCTGGATCCATGCTGGTCGCAAATGCATTATGTTGGTTTTGTCATGGCACGGCTCAAATAATGAAAGTGATTGATAACTCATGTGACATGGTGTACGCTTTCAGCACCATTATCATTGTATACTCTTGTATCACTGTCTAGAGGCTAAGTTGTAAAAACAAAATTATGGAAAATAAATAAAAAGTACTGCGCAAATAATCTTTCATACAAACTATAGGTTGATTGCTTCCTAAATTTAAAATATATTTTAGGTGAATTTCTTACTTCTTAAAATTCAGATCTGCTATCACATGATAAATACCCTAGAAACAACAAAAATATTACTTTGTGCAGACGATGTTTATCCTTCATTTGGTTGTTTGTTTGATCATTCATTCATTCATTTGTTCATTCGTATGTTCATTCATTCATTCATCATTCATCCATCCATCAATCCATTCATTCATTTTAGTTGATCAGTTATGTAAATGTTGTTCTGTTTCATAATTAAGATATTATTTCACCCTTAACTTTGTGAAACATTACCCTTTGCCACTAGTATACTACCAGGCCAGTCTGCAAATAAAGGTAGCTAAGTTTTTGTATTTCAATACTGGAATCCCTTAATCTTTGAATGGACTGTTCAAAATTCAAAATGGGACAAGTCCATTTTACAAATTCAGCAGGTTAAAAATTAACTTCCTAATTTACCTACCTGAAGTTTTTCTTGTTCTGAATGTTATGTCACTTAAAAAAATCTTCATTATAGTTTTCATTGCAGGATTAAATGTTCCATCAATGATTATGTAAACATTGAAAACAATAATTTTCCTTTATGAAGAACTTCTGCAATAAAAAAGCAAATCCAAAAGAAAAATCTGCTTATTTTTTGGTAGCTGTAATCTTACAATTAATGTAATATTTAATAGTAATATAATATGACTTTGAAAATGCATGCATTGCATAAAGATGTGAATGTAATTTCCCTTCTGCCTTTTGTTCTTCTGTAATTGGCTAATTATAAAGTGCCATTTTCATGAACTTGATATTACATAATTTTCTTTATCATGCAATAGTCATTTCTGACCTAATAACAAGTGTTGAAGTTTCTTTATGACTTTTTCCAGTTTTATAAGAAATGAAGGCTGTTCTGAAACAGTGTATACTTTTATCTTTATATCTTTTTCTTATGTTTGCATTTTGTTGAATCATTCATGTTGCCGTTGATACAGTTTGTTGAAAAAGAATTATTGTTTAGAAAAAAAATGATAATGAAATATATGTCTGTTGTAGAAATCTGCAGCATTTTTGAAAATATATCCACCTTTCCAGTTACCTTTGCTTATGTATATACATTGTACACATTTTGTATTTTACTTGACCCATGTAATATTGTTGCATTTTTTCCTCTTCCATTTCCCATATAGCATCACTGCAGGCACTGTGGCAATATATTCTGTAACGAGTGTTCCTCAAGGGAAGCCAAGATAGCCATGTCTAAAAAACCAGTACGCGTTTGTGATAACTGCTACATAGACCTTGTCAAAGATTGATTCATCAATGTACACCAGTAATGATAATTTGAAAGGACTGAATTATAAATGTAGCAAGGATTGATTCATCAATGTTAAACAGTTGTGAGGCAAGAACTGAATCATTGATGTACACCACTAATGATAATTTGCAAGGATTGAATCATCAATGTACAACAGTTATGAGGCAAGGATTGATTCATCAATGTTCACCAGCTATGAGACAAAGATTGATTCATCAATGTACAGCGGTTGTTAGGCAAGGACTGATTCATCAATGTACGTCAGTAATGGTAATTTGCAAGGATTGAATCCTCAATGTAAAACAGTTGTGAGGCAAGAACTGAATTATCGATGTACAGGAGTTCTGATAATAATCTGGGCTATTTTTATCACAGTTGTTGCCATATATAGATCCTGTAAAAGCTATGTTATGCCATACATTGTCTATCATTTGCTATGAAATTACTCTAAGCCGCTTTAATCCCATTACAAGCACATTTTATCTTTACCTTTTGTATAATCTGTTCATATGCTACCATTTATGTCATAGATATTTTCCTGAAAATATTGTTATTATCTTATTATTAGACAATTATAGGCCTATAAATAAAATGGAAGAGATTGGTTGCCTAAAATAAACAAATTATGAGATATTTCTGTTTTTAATATAAAAAAATTCTTAATGTCTGATTGGAGAGGTCAAAATATTTGATAATGAATAGGTCAGACGTTTATGTTTTAACTTCACATTGTATTAAGTAAATTGCTTAATATTGACACTTTAAATGGCAATTTATTTGTCAGGGTATTGTATGTTTACTTTTATCTTCAGTAATTTACTGTATCATGTAAATTCTATGTCTGGTTTATTCTTAGAAGTATTAAAAATATCAAAGTGAAACCGAGTAAAATGGGCAATTTCCGAAAAGGTTGTAATATAGATGTCACTGTTATGTAACACACATGAATATTGTATGTAAAGAGAATAAAATGTTGCAGAACAAGATATAATTCTACATTTTAAGTAGGTTTTTATTTTTTACCATTAATGGTTATGTCTTTTACTCTTAAGGAAGTATACAAAGATATATCATTTTTTCCATATTTTTAGTTATCAATCTTTTTGAAATTCAAACATAAACTTTGTAAACTACAGGCTGCCGATATATAGCTTTATACACACAGGATTACATATATATAAATATTGACAATGGCAGTTCAGTAGGTAGTAGTTAATTCTCTGATTGTGATTCTCATTATAGTCTAGATAAAGATGTACAAATGTAGACAGTCAGTGTAAAGTCTTTTACAAAACTTTATAAATTACTCCTTAGTGTACAGGATAACTTTGGTAAATTAGTCAATTTAACATTGAATTCCAGACACATTTTCTCACTAAAGTGATACTAGCTTGGTAATTGGTGAAAATATATTGCTTCTCAGTACCTCTATCTTTTTTTTAGGATTATAGGGTGCTAGAACATTCACAAACATCACTGTGTCTGTTTTTTATCTTGGCAAAATTACTTGTTATTTATCATGTTTAGTCTTACAATCATTAGATTTACTAGACTGGAATGACTATACCACATATCAGCCTGGAATTAAGCTTAGACCATGAAGATTTATATTTTTATATATTAATAGGTTGTTTCTGTATTTCATTGTTTCCCAATGTTTGATTGCACATATTTTTGTAGATTCATTATGGCTGTATGTCTTAATATAAAAAAAATAGTGCCATCTTCTTGTATTTGTCATTGCTTGATGGATATTGAAATTATCTTGCAGAAATGGTAACTTTGACTAACATTGTCTGACACCCAAAATCATGGTACTAAAATCCAGGTTCAAGGTCAAAAGTCGAGAAAGTGTTCTATTTTTTGGTGTCTGGTCCATTTTTATTGTCATTCTTTTTTGATAAATTTTAAATGACTTGGTAGATGCTCTGGCCAACAGAAGATGATGTTTTGTGTTTAACTCTCAAATTAGTAGCTCAGTTAAGTTCAAGGTAACAGTTAAAGGTCAAGGATAAAAAAAATGAATGCCAAGGATAAAAAATGGGTCATTTGTATGTCATCACTACACTGACTGGATTTTGACATCGCTTTGTAGAAAGTTCCACTATAATAAGTTGCTATGTCATACTCAAAATTCAGGTCCTTAATATCATGTCAAAAGAAGTTGAAGGTTATACACAACTCTGTTAGTGCATTGATGTTAAACATAGGAAAGGAATATTGATTATATTGTGAGCGGATTTTGTTTGAAAGAATTATGTACATTTGTATGTTTGAAGTGCATTGTTTTATTGTGTTTTACTTTCACTTCTTGTCACATGATATAAAAATGTAATTATAATCAGTATAAATTTTTGTGTCAAATAACAGGGATTTTTATCATACCAAGATTTTACTCTATTTCTGGATGTAAGGCAATGGTGCTACAAATTTTGTTATAATTTTCTGCTATGTAGTATTGTTTAGCACATAATGTAATAAGTCCTTATAAATTTAATAGCAGTTAATCAGTTATTGCACTAAGTTGATGATATAAATGATAAATGCAGCACACATATTTGTCTAGACTATTTAAAACGTGCTTTTTTCATCTTATCCCTTTGTGAATGAGGGGTTGAAACATAAGAATTGCAGCCACTGTTTATCACTGCATGATCGTATGAAGCGACTCAAATCACTGGAGTCTATGCATATCTTAGCTCCAGCAGGTGAGGTGGTTTTGACCCCTGGTGTTGCTTTATTCAACGCCATATGACCTATACTGTGTTGGTGCGCCGTAAAACCAAACAAACAAACAAAATCATCTAAGTTGTGGTAAGATATAAAATTTGCTTCAGCGATAGTCTTCCTTATGTAGGAATGTAAAGTTAGTTTCGATTTTATATAATATGTACACACATATGTCTTTCATATTGTTATTTTAAGGTAAGTGTCTTACAATAATTTTTTATTTGTATTAAAGATGATTGAACAGTCTTACTTTATGTTGCTCAGAAACTAAGAAAAAAACTAATTGTGTTTTTATATGAACGCATGAAGTTATTTTGAAATTGAATTTTAATAGATTTAATTTACGATCAAATATGCAGCATGAAATTAAAAATAATAGATATTTACCCAGACTTTTATTGTTCAGTTTTACACTAAAGGGGAATGAGATTGATTTTTGCAAGAAAAACACACCTGTGTCTTTTAAGCAGGTTATGAAATCTAGGTATGCAGAAATGTTAGTTGTGGTTAAAATAACAGATAAGTAGATAACATGTAACATTATATTGACAGATTGAAAAAAAAAATCAAAATAAAATCATGTATGAATCGAATCAAGTACTTGGCAGGAAACATCATGTGAGTTATAATCGTTTAGCATCAATCCCTTGAAATGCATTTTTTTATCGGAACAAGTGCCTTCTTTTTTCTTTTTGACCAAATTTTACATGACAATTTTCATGTTTTTTGTTTTCTTAATATAAGTTTGAGCAATATAAATTAAGATTGTTCAACTTTGAAGACAAAGTATTTTATATACCCGGTATTTTAGAAAAATATTTATTCATGGTATTTTAGCTTTATTACATATTTTAACTTGTCTTTGATATTTTAATAAATATATTTTTGACAATACTTGTTTCTATTTACTGTGGTTATTCCCCCCATGAAAAATGAAACGTCTGCTGTTGAAGATACTATAGATTATATATTATAGAGTTATAATGGCATAATTATGACATGATATATTAGTTGATGAACTGAAATCAGTTTTGAATTAGGGATGAAATTTGTTTTTAATGAGTGTTTGATAGATGGTGGTATAAATTGTATTATTATCACATTATTATTATCAATGAAACATTATACAGTATCACAATAATCAGGAAATGCTGTAGAAGATCTACCTGATAACAACTTAATATTAAGCCTGCAATTACGTGATGTAATGGGACTAGCTGGAAATGAGAAACTCAAAAAACAAGATTAATGATATCGTTGTTCATTGTAATAATATCAAATGTAGTTTATTAAGCTAAAATAGCATAACTCTTACACAACTAGCATGCCTAGTTTAAGCTTATTTATTTAAGCTTGATTTCAAAACAAATACATTGTATTATCAAACACTCATCGTTAACGTTTTACTAATTTAAATCTCATTTAAATCCCAATGCTGATTTAAACTGGGAAATGATTCACATTAACACATTTTATCATCAAAGAGCATTTGTTTCCTGGGGGACACTCTGTTTATATAGACTTACATTAAAGTAAACTTGTGTCAATCTGCATGCAGTTAGCGTTGAGGACCTCAACAAAAATGGGTTAGAATCATGCCACGGAGGTAAAAAATAGCCTTGGTAGGAGGTGACGGAGTTTTTATGGACTTATCTTATAGTAGTTATTATTTTCTTCTGCATTGAATAGTTTTGTATATCACACAATTATCATTATCAAATGAATCGTATTTTAACTTTTGCTCCTTCTGATCTAGTTGGAGAGCATAAATTTAGATGTGCTTCACTACACTTAATCTTATAATTGTAATTCTTAAATACGATGTTTACATAGATGACAAGTGTAAAGACTCCTATTATGTACCACAAATCACATGTGATTAATTATATCAGGTGATTTTTATCAACAGCAGTAGGGATATTGATTTAACAAATTTGCTTGTACACATTATAACCCTAATGTCTCCTATTACCGTTTCCACTTCACAAATTTAAATATCACCCGCCACTTTCACCCTCTTGTAAACTTTATTTAAATGCACTTATAACTATATTTTCCAAATGCAAGTAGTCTGTAAAATATTTGTTTCATTCTACTTTGTGAAAGATATGATAAATGTCTAATATAACAGATACTTTTATATATAAAATGATCTGATAAGTTATCAGATGTAATACATGCATTGGATATTAACCCCAGATTTCGGCGTTTTACTTAACTTCCCTGAAAATATTTTTTGGATTTCTTCAAAGCTTGTTTGCCTTTCTATGGTCATCTTTGTCGAGTTCACTTATTTTCATGAACTTTACAATCGACTCTGTAAAGTGGGTCTCTAGGGATAGTAAGATGATTTCCTTGACCAAACTTTGATATGTAGCATCATTTAATGGTCCCTCGTTGTGATAGTGTAAAATTAGTCATTAGAACTAGAATATGCCAAATGTTTTAGCACCTCAGGCGATCATGGTAACTTGCATGTTAGTGTGTATTAATCATATTAGAAGGTTCTTGATGCAATTGCATTTCAACCCTTTTATGAAGAATTTGAGCAAAGAAAACTGGCTTTAAACAGCATCTCATAATTCAGTACATGAAAATTTGCAAAATAACAATAGATAAAAAGACTAAAAGAACATGACTTTAACCCTTACGTTAACAAAGTAGTCTTGTTCTCTAATGTTCTCTCTGTCCTAAAATTACTGTTTTTAGCAAAGCAATGCAAGAAGCAGGCCGACAATTGAAACGCCACCTACATATTTTTGTTGTATGTGTGATATTCAGTCTCGTTGCCATGTTCAAGTATTTTTGCATGAGAACCGTATAATAATTCCTAGGATATATTGTCTGCCTTTTACCGCCGCTTTTGATACACAGACTTTTTTTTTAATTAAGACAAAATACAATACGAACTTGCAAAACATTTCAAGAGCAACAATGCTTTTTTCAGTTGAAAATCATCATTGTAATGAATTAAATGGGGGGGGGGGGGGCATTATAGAATTCAAAAGTTATGAAATTAAATACGGTATAGCGCCTGCATATTTGTCCTCGTCCATCATACCATACCTATCCAACACTCGCCATAATTTAAAGAATTCAAACGACACAATCGGTATAATATCTAGAACCTCTTTATACTTAAATCGTTTCTGCAGTGCGTGAGTTGAGGAGCAACTTACTCTTCACTATACAGAACGCTACGGAACTGGCGCTTTCAATGTTCAAGAATTACCTATCACTTAAT